ATACGTAAAGATCGCCTTAAGATCGTTAATTACGTTACCTCGTTCTAGCTATACGAGTTTACGTTTAACGTTAACTTAGCCTAGTCTATCGGTAATCCTAAAACGGTACTTCAAGGCTATAACGATAACTCTTTAAATCGTTTAATCCTTCATAACGTCGTTAATACGCTCCCTAATAATCTTAATCGTAATCTATTCGCCGATCTCCTTAATCTTATCGTCGTCGCTTATACGGTAGCGGTTAAATAATCGATCTACCCTCTTTAGCTATTAGATTATATTATATTTATTAAACTTAAGCCTAAGGTAATCGGTAGGGTTAGGGAATTTAATGGCTAGTATTACGATAATCGGGGTAGCTACCGGTATATTCTAGTTACTAGAGGCCCCGTTATTATTATTTTAAGATAATGCCATAAGGATTAACGGAATAAGTATAGAGCCGCGGTTAAGGGATAGCTAAATAAGAGTTTTATCGTCGTCCTCCTTTTCTTCGGGTAGATATAAGGACGGAAAGCTAGTATCGATTCTTAAGGTCTTTACTAGTAATTTAGTCTTTACTACTTCGGGTTTTAACGGCGATTTACTTCGTTTCCTAGCTACGGACTCCGTTTAATCTATCGGTACGAGGTATAAAATAGAAAGGAGGGTAGTAAAGGTCTTATTATTTAACATAAGGGTAAAGGTATAATAGCTATTATCTATATCCTAATACTTTTCCTTTAGTATAAGTATATTATTATCTATTATATTATCCCGATCGATAGGGTCCGGATACTATACGAGCTTCTTTAATCGGTTAACGCCTAATTAAAGTACGATACGTATTCCTTAAACTAATAATTTAACTATTATAAATAAATCGACGATAATTCCTTTTATTAAGGTCTAGAACTCCTAACGTATAACCTTCGTTAAGGTAATACGTATAAGGGATAGATCCCGAGTAGAGAATCGCGCTAGATACGATACCGGTTATAGCCATAAGCCGGTTTCGATCTAACGAAAGCTATTTAATAGTATTAGCGGTATTACTACTAAGCGCCGTTTTACGCCTATGTTAGTACTTCTCGCTATATTAATTATTAATTAGTAATATAAGGTTAACCTATATATAGGTATACCTATTAGCTCGACTCTAGTTCCGTTTCCTTAATCCTTTATATCTACGTAGTCCTATTAATATTAATTCTTAATTCTTTTTAAAACTATCGGTTACTAGTAACTATTAGTTTATTAATCCTCTTTATATTATTAATATAAATATCTATATTATATCGTATATTATATCGTCGAATCGCTACGCCTAGGTATCCTAAAATACCTCTAATATAATAAGTTATTAATATCTATATATTTAATTTATATCGATTAATAGGTTTAAAGGGAAAAAGAAGCTATCGTAAGGTCGGTTAAGGTATAATTACTATTAGCCTTTATCCGCCCTTAGTATTAATAAGAAAACAACGGGTCGTATAAGTTATCGTAATTTATACTAAAGCGCTCGTACGTTTAATCTATATAGTAAATAAATAACTATAAGGAGGCTACCCTAATCGCTATAAGCTCTATTTACTCGCACGAAACGTACTATACTATTAGCGGTTCGAGGAAGCGGTTAATATCGAGGGCTAAATACCATCCCTAGTAGCGGTAATATTACGACGAAAGTTCTCCCGGGTTTTACGGGTTCCTCCGTATAGTAAATAAATAACCATACGAAGGATGTTTTAATCGGTATAAACGCGGTTTAATCGTCGTATTATATCGTAATATCGATAGCTTTTTAACGTTATAAGTATTAAAGGCTAAGTATTATCTTAATAATAATAATATCGTTATAAAAGTTCCCGGGCTTATACGTACTTCCCTATAGTAAATAAATAACTATAAGGCGGGATACTTTATTTAACGTAAAACGCGAACTACTTCGCGGGTTAAATAGCGGCGCCGACGGCGATCGGTATCCTCTAAATCCTAATAGCGTAATAGAAACTCCGTAAACTAAAGGTTAAGGGGTCGAAAAAGTTATAGGGTAATCGCTACTAAGGAAGAATAAAGCGTACGCGATACTAAAGACCCGGATAAGTTTACTCGAAAGTATACTCTATCGAAGACTATAATACGTACGATAATCTAAGATAAATAAAACTAATATCGCTATATTAATCAAAAGGTAAGGAATCTAATATAATTATCGTATCTTAACTATGCCCCTTAGTCGTAAAGATATAATAATCGCTAGCCCGAAGGTATAAGAGGTAAGGGAAGAAAAGGAGTAAAACGCAAAAGTCACTTATTCGGCTATAACGGTACGACGAAGTAACTTAAGCGCTTATAATTAAAATAAATGCACTAATCGGAAAACGATAAATCTAATAATAAAAACGAATCTTTAATTAAGGTAAAAATAATAAAGATAGTAATCTAGCTAGGTAATAAACTAAATAATAAGCATAACATATCCCGTACTTACGGGAGCTATGGTTACTCTATATAGGCATAAGGCCTATCGTAGCGTATCACGTAATACATTAAGAGGGTATGTCTTACCGCACTACTATAATACCTTCATAAATAACTCTATAAATAACCTTATAATTATGAAATTATTTAGAAGATATTCTATTTTTATTAGTTAAAAGTTCGTATAGCCCGTTTAAAGGAGATATATCTAATAAAACCATAGTATATATAATGAGATCTTTATTTACTTACTAACGCATTTATTTTCTACCTATTTTAATTATATTTATATATAAATTAATTTAGGTTAATTTCCCTTTGTTTAATTTAGGTTAGTTTTTTCTTATTTAATCTAGGTTAGTTTCTTTTCGTTTAATCTAGGTTAATTTCTCTCTATTTAATCTAAGTTTATTTTTCTTTATTTAATTTAGGTTAGTTTCTTATCGTTTAATGTTAGTTAGGTTCTTTACGTTTAATATAAGTTAATTTCTCCCCGTTTAATCCAAGTTAGTTTCTCTTTATTTAATTTAGGTTAGCTTTTTTCTATTTAATCTAAGTTAGTTTCTCTTTATTTAATTAAGAATCGATTATTAATTAAATTTTTTTCGTAGTTAAATTAAACGTCGATTCTTACTTACCCTTTTTCTCTTAGACTTTAGAGAGGTTTTAAGTTTTCCATACGAAAACCTAAAGAAACGCGAAGTACTTTAGCGTATTTTATTTATACTTTACGGTATATAGGTATATAAGGGATACTTTAATTAATATATAATATTAATTTAATTTATTATTATCTTATTATTACTTTAGTATTACTATTATTTATTTATAATTTTATTTATAATTTTATTTGTAATTTTATTTTTAAATTCTAATTTTTATATTATTTTTTAACTTTATTAAATATTATATCTATTACGTAAGAAGCTACCTATATATAGCTATTTATTTTTTTTAATTATTCGTTTACCTACTTTAATTTCGAGTTTACTTATAAAATATAACTCGTAACTTCTTATTATTTATATATAGGTAGTTTATATTTTCTTTAATTTTTTTTTCGTTTTAAATAATTAGTTAATTTACTTTCTTCTTCTTATATTTTATTATCTATAAAGTAACTTAAATACTTATGTAGCTTTTCTGATTTATATAATAATATTTATTTTATTTATTTTATTTATTTTATTTATTTTATTTATTTTATTTATTTTATTTATTTTATTTATTTTATTTATTTTATTTATTTTATTTATTCTATTTATTCTATTTATTCTATTTATTCTATTTATTCTATTTATTCTATTTATTCTATTTATTCTATTTATTCTATTTATTCTATTTATTCTATTTATTCTATTTATTCTATTTATTCTATTTATTCTATTTATTCTATTTATTCTATTTATTCTATTTATTCTATTTATTCTATTTATTCTATTTATTCTATTTATTCTATTTATTCTATTTATTCTATTTATTCTATTTATTCTATTTATTCTATTTATTCTATTTATTCTATTTATTCTATTTATTCTATTTATTCTATTTATTCTATTTATTCTATTTATTCTATTTATTCTATTTATTCTATTTATTCTATTTATTCTATTTATTCTATTTATCTTATTTATCCTATTTATTCTATTCATCCTATTTATCCTATTTATCCTATTTATCTTATTCATTCTATTTATCTTATTCATTCTATTTATCTTATTCATTCTATTTATTCTATTCATCCTATTCATCCCATTTATCCTATTTATCTTTATCGTATTTATCGTATTTATTATATTTATTATATTTATTATATTTATTATATTTATTATATTTATTATATTTATTATATTTATTATATTTATTATATTTATTATATTTATTATATTTATTATATTTATTATATTTATTATATTTATTATATTTATTATATTTATTATATTTATTATATTTATTATATTTATTATATTTATTATATAATATAAAGCGTTAATATATATAAACATAAACGTTTAAATAGATTATTATATATTATATAGATTATTTTATTATTAGGTTTTATTTAATATTAAGATTTTAATTTATAAGTTTAAACTAATTATATTAAAACGGATATTTAATCTAAGAGGTTAAATTAATTAATTAATATATATTTCATAAGTAAGTATAACGTATAACGTAAATTATTAATATATATTATAAAGCGTTATTATAAGTAACGTATAAGTATATAGGTACGAATGCTATAAACGTAGGCGTGCGGGTACGTAGGTACGAACGTTCTAGACGTAGGCGTACGGATACGTAGGTACGTTCCAGACGTAGGCGTGCGGGTACGTAGGTACGAACATTCTAGACGTAGGCGTATGGCTTCGTATGGCTTTGTAGAGCGGCTTACGTAATTATAACCGTTTCGCCATTTTCATGGACCAATCACCTTCGTAAGACTCTGGCCTATTTCGGACTGTGGCGTAGGTTTGATCTTAGTATATTAGATTGTTCTACTAGAGTACCTACCTCGATACCCCGAACCTTAGGTACCTTAGGTACTTCTAAGGTAGGAGGTGGGTAGGTACCTAGGTAGGTACCTGGGTAGGAGATCAGTAGGTTACTGAATGAAGGATAGGTTCGATTCCTAACAGCGCTACTTGGTAGCCTTCGTTGTTTAGCTCATCTGTAGGTACCTATCTGGTTCAAGGCCTTCGTTTCGCGCGTGGTCGTTCGCTAGCCGCATATCTACCTCCTAACCTCCTCGCGCCTCGGGTTAGGTCCATGCAAAAACTACCTACCTACCTACGCCGTCGTCTGCGTCACGGTGATTTATCGACAACCGAGAAACACATGATAGTGTCGCCATCCGCGATGGTCCGAACGTGCCACGACCCGGTGATCCCTGCCCGCCCGAGTTCATATGCCTCCGCATAAGCTACCCCAAGTTAACCCTAGTCCTTCCCGACTGCCGCCGCCGTATTAGCATGTCTCACGGTCGCCTCTTCTTCGCCGACCTACCGCTCGCCACCCTCTTCCCACGACGACTTTCAGGGCCCGCTGCGCGACAATTGTTTGGCGGTTGTAGGCTTCGTCTCAAAAGCACTGCCATGAGCCCCAGGTATGCTCCGAGTCGCGAGGGGGGGGTCAGGAAGCAATCTGTGGCCGGGTCCTTCCTCTTTAAGCTTCCCAACGGCGATGGGAAAGACGCTCAAGTCGCTCTGTTCAGGCGCAGCGCCAGAGTTAGCACCTATCAGCACAGATTGGCGCCCATATCCGGTAGCATCGAGGCGGATGACGTCAGCCCTCTCGCGACGGCGTTGCGGGAGATTAATGAGGAGACGAGCCTCACTCTCTCCTCCATCGAACTACTCTGCGTCGGCAAACCCTACACATTTACCGACGACGACATTTATCGCGAGTGGACCATCAACCCATTTGCCTTCCGCCTCAAGGACAAAGCCGAAGGGGGAAGGGAGAGCAGGGAATCGTCATCGACTGGGAGCACGAAGACTTTGAGTGGTTCAACCCCTTGGATGTGAATGAGTCTGAAGGGTTCGGCGGCGTTCCTAAGCTTGTAAACAGCCTACGAAGAGTGTGGCCAGAGTACGACCTGGGCCCACAAGCGGGCAAGGTTTTAACCTCCGGATTGCGACAGCTAAGAGATGATCACGAGAATGGGGCGAGGCAGCTTGCTAACATGGCAGTATCGACACTGTTGAACGTGATCGCCTCGATGGATCAGCGTGCGATCGACGATTCTTGGTGGGGCGACGTCCGAATGGCGGCCTGGCATATCTGCCAGACACGTGAAAGCATGGGGTCTGCTATCACGAGTGCTGTTGTTAGGGCGCTTGACCTGATCCAGACTATATTGCTTTCAGAAATACCACGGGGAGAGGTAGTCCCACGTGTAGTCGAAGCATTGAAAGCACAACTAGGTCAACGCCGCTCTACGACCGACCGGATTCGGGCCGTCTTTGTGGATTATCTTCGACACAATGTCATTCAGACAGATAAGCCGCAGAAGCGAATCTCGGTCCTCACCCTGTCGTCAAGCTCTACAATATCGGACTGCCTCTTAGGGGCATCTGCAGACCTGGGGGTCCCCCTCGACCTCCGTATCCTGGAGTCTCGGCCTCTCTGCGAAGGCGTAACACTGGCCTCAAGGCTCCTTGCGCCGGACAATGCGTCGGTTGACTTCACGGTGACACTCTACTCGGACGCCTCTGCCGCCCTTGCTGCTAACGATGTCGATGCTGTTGTTCTTGGCGCCGACCGCATAAGCTCGGCGGGGGACGTGAGCAACGTGAGTCAACTCCCCTTTAGAAAACCTCTTTCGGCTACGTCTACGGGATTGTCGCGTAACTACTGACACCGGGTCTTAGAAAATTGGATCATTACCTGCTATCCTGAGCCAGAGATATTCTGCTCCCGATGCTAAAGTAATCATACTTAGCGAAACCGATAAGATAGCCCGCCCGGGGTTGGCGGAGGAGCACCCAGTGGAGGAGAATAGCCCTATGGAGCTGATGCGGGCTTGGAATGGCAATGTGAAAGGGGCCCAAGTCATTGAAGATGCTTTGCGTACGACGGACGAGAGTTCGCCAAACAAAGTCCGTGTGAGGAATGCTTATTTCGAATGGATCCCTGCTCGGTACGTCCACGCATACGTCACCGACGAGGGCCTTTGGTCGGTAGAAAATATCGCCAAAAGGTCGAAGTGGATTGGGGAGGAGACGGACAGGTTCTTCAAGGACCTTTGATTTATTATCATTAGAGGGCGTAGCCCTGAAAATCCGTAAATAACGCCTCGCATAAGCCCCCTCTCACTGCTTATGAGAAAGAACTAGATGATATTCTATTTTAACCGTTCTTTTCCTACTACGAGAAACCCACCAACACTCTGAAATATTATTCTCCAGAGTTGATCGCTCATGTTACTTACATCCGCGCCTTTCCTCTATACCTATATACACAGTCTTCCTCCAGATTAGGACGAGGGAATGGGCACCCGCATCTGAGAGTATTTGCGTATCATAGGCAGCGCATCGAGAAAGGGCCTACGAGTCACCTTGCTGAACACTTAGCAGATAACCTGTTGAGCATAACTGTCTGATCACGTTGTCATGAGAAATGTTACGCGCGCAAGCTCATGCCTATGAGTATGCCTATGTGAAAGCCCTTTTGCCAAAAATGGTGCCGATATGCAGCCTCATGCTCATCTTTACAAGGGAACTTTTCCGTAACCAACAACCTAGCTCCGCCGCTCCCCCGAAAACCTTTACTGCAACAACTCCATTCAATTGCTTAGAACGACGCCTATTAAGTGCCTAAGTGCCTAGCCTATACATGCTACAGTATATGTATTATGCGATTCGGTTGCTTAACAAACGCCAGCCGGGATCGTATTGCTTCCAGTGCGTCCCCGGCTCGCGTACACAGCACCTTGACCGAGACCTCGCTTGGCGAAAGCCGTCCAGCTAAACGCACCCCCAGTGTCAGCCGCCAGCCGTCTTGAACATGCGTGCTGTACAGAGGGAGAGGGAAAAGGGAAAGGGAGCAGTCTCGTTTGTTACTTACAGTTCGCAGGCGTTGACACCGCCGGTCAGCGCCTTGTCGGCATCGAGGATGGCGTCGCGCCCCTGGACGAAGTTGGGGTTGCAAGGTTGGCTAAGAGCGGGAAAAGAAAGTGTTAGCATTCATAAGCTCCTGGGACCTTTCGATTCAGCTTTCGCTTTGGGAAGCACGTACATAGCCATGGCGTCGACGACAAGCTTCAGCGTCAGATACTTGCCGTCGGTCGGAACACCGTTCTCGTCGAACACGGGCTTCGGGCCGTCATTCTTGCCGTACTTATCGATGAGGTTCCATAGGACCTCGTACAGGATGGTGGCCCACACCTCGCCGATGTCGTGCACCTCGTTGTACGTGTTGAGCGTTATGTACTGGTACGGGTTGGTCTGGAGGCTCGTCGAATACAGGTACGTGCGGATGCCTGCCGGGTTGTTGTACACCCAGGCGCCGAGGCTGTAGTCGCTCGCCCGCGTGTCACCAGGCTTTAGGCGGATCGCCGTGGCGAAGAAGTCGCCCCAGCCTTCGCCCATACCGCCCGACTCGAGCCCGTTCAGGCAGTTCGAGTTGGCCGGGCCACCGGTAAGGCGGTTGGAAACTAGTTTTGTACGAGCGTCAGTTCGGCTGCGGCCTCGAATTATTGCGTGCCACGCCTGGAAGGCGAGAAATGACAGTTGGGAGAGGAGGGCTGAAATGCGCAAGAGAAAACTCACGTCCGTGGCTATATTCGTGGATGATCACTCCGGCCTCAAAGGTGCAGTCCCGGTAGGGGGTCGATCGGGTCCATATGTACATCCTCATTCGGCCGTTCGAGCCGTCAGGCGGCGTGGCAAAGTTCGCGTTGTTGGTACCTGAGCCATCCTGCGCATTGAGGATCACGAAGTCGTTGCCAACGCCACCCTGTCCGTTGTTGTTGAACTCGAAATTGCCAGCCACCTCGGTGAACCCGAGATCGTACAAAAGGTCGTGGTAGACGTTCGACGTGTAAAAGAGCTGGGCAACGGAAGCATCCGCATAGGTGGAGGGCGGCGTCAACGTAGCGCCATAGTTGTACTCGAACTTGAGAGACGGGCTGTCCGGGCGGTAGTTGTTGAGGTACGTGGATCCTCCGCTGGGATTAGTCTGCGCGATAGCGTTGTCTGGAGAAATGCAACCGTTTAGCACGAAATTTCTGTGATAGAGAAGGGGATGGGACGCCGACTTACTCCCGCGCGTGGTGGTGTAGTTAGTTGTCCCATCAGATAACCAGGTGAACTCGGATGCCGTCAGATCCCACGGATCCTCCACAATGACACGATCGCCCTCCTCGGGGTCATTGGTTCCCCAGGGGCTATTTTGTTCGGGTTAGATGTTGGAGTGACGGGAGGCGGATGGAAAGCCCGGGGGCGGGTTTACTTACTAGACGAGGTAACTTGCCTCGGCAACGTAGTCAACGACAGCGTGAATTTCTTCATTGGTGCTAGCATCAACATACGACAGGAGCCAGTTGTCGAGGATGTCCGTCTCTACCCTCCATGTCAGAGCTAGGCTGCCGTCGGGCTTAGCGAAGTAGACCAGGCGAGCTTCCGGATCCTTCTGGGCCCCGGAAGTTCCCTTGAGCACATAGTTCTCGGTTCCCTCAGCGGCTTCAGCGGTTGCCTCGCCGCTAACCGGCAGCTCAAGTAGCTTCGTCGCCCCCGAGAGCGCCTGGGCAGGGTCTGAAAAGTCACGCTTCCCCAGCGGGTTCTCAGCGGGGATTGCGCCTGTAAAGAACGAGTTGCCGTAGGAGAAAACACTCCCATCGCGACCGATCTATCGAGCCTTCAGTATTAAGTCATCGAAACTTGAGGGATTGGGTTGTTGATACTTACGTTCACATTAAAGTCCGCGTTGTCGATGTCTAGGCCGTGTGCCGTCTGTTTGAAGTTGACGTGCGCCAGGCCATTGTTACCGACGTAGTGGTCGTTGACCAGGCGGAATGTGGCCCCCGGAGCGACGCTCTTGACGAGCTCAGTTGCGGTGTCGACATATGACTTGCGTTTGAGGAGGCGCAGAGTTTTATCAGAACTCGTGGCATCCCGGTTGACGTACTCGGCGGTTTCCTTTACACGGAACGCGTTAAGGTCCACCGTACGGCGTCGCAATCCCGCCTTGTAGGAGTTGGTCGGGTGGGTGTGAGCAGGGAGCGATGCCCCGAGCAGGCCAAGCAAGAATACGGACCGCATTTTGAGGACGAGGGAATCCGATTAGCTTGTCTGAGGATTGTCTAGCTTTCTGGGGATCAAGCTGATATCCCGGGGATGCTGTGACCTGCTTTTCACTCTATGGTAACCGCCCGACGTCGAGCCTTATATAGGACTATCTGAATCTCGTACTGCGAACTTCACCCTCAAGGAGCTTCCTCTTTCGAGCATATTCGTGATCGTTGAGAGACATGGTTTCATTGGTAGATAAGTCTGGGGTTGAATATGCCTGAGCCTCCGATGACTGCAGTCGCGTGCTACCATTCGAGTCTTTTCCTCTCAAGTCTCTAGCTTGAGTAGACCTTCGGTGATAAAGGGGGAGCTTCCTCAAATGAAAGCTATGTGTAATAGCTATCCCCTGTCCGATACGAGTTCACGAAGGGAAAGTAGTTATCGGGTGCTACGGCATGCGGCACGTCTTGACAGGGGCCGACGACATGCAGAGCAAGCTTCTGAAAACAGTAGGCATACCTTAAGTATGCCAAGATTCCGAGTGCAGTAGGGGACGGGGCAGTACCGCCCCAGGGCAGCGCGTATCCGGTCAAGTTTTACAACGTGGAGAATATGCCAGATAGAGCTAGCTAGGGCTTGTCATCTATTAGCAAAGCTCAACGTTCGTTGACCCTCCGTTACGCCGTAACGGAAATGTCAGAGCCTAGGTCGCTATATCAATGTCGAATTTCCTTTATACACTCCCCTCGCTTGGCTTGATATTCGTAATCAGAATCGCTGGAGCAAGTAGTAAACCGCAGACAGCTCTTGCTTGCTGGTCTACCTAATAGACTATCCGTGGGTCGCGGCCGGCGCCAGAGTGGGCGTACTCAGGACATGGGGCGAGCATTCGGCTTCCGTTTTGAGATTGCCCGCGATAGTGACCGTAATCTTACCGGACCTCTTGACCATCGCACATTCTTGTCACGGTCTAGTTCGATTGTCTCGGTCTGTTATGATGGTCGGTCTTGGCGCGTCGGCTGACCTCCATCGCGCTTATGTCGCAATCCACACACACTCGGCAGAAGAACTGCATAGGGAGCGATAAGAATGCCCAGCTCGGCATATGTAATCTAGTTGGGTTAGCCTTGAACCCAGGGCTATCGTATGCCCAGGCACGTATCCATGTAGGCGGTAAGAAGCTCCGAGCGTAATATCGCTCTACTGCTTCGTTGGGGCGCGTAGAATCCTGGGAACGGCCGTTGCCGGCCTGGCGCGCTTAAGTGTAAGGGTCAGGATTAATCATCACCGGGCACTCCAGGGTGTGATCAACCGACCTGTCCTGTTTTAGAGACCTTCCTAGAGGAGCAGGACGACCGAGGAACACGCTGCATTGCTAAAGGGTGAATAATACACGAAACACTCTGCCCACCTATACCTGGACAGACGGTTCTAGGTTCGAGTGTCTTAGACGCCTAGCTAGATACTGGGTTTAAGCTTGGTTTATTCGTCGGCCCCATGGGGTTTCTGATCACCTGGTCGTCTATATTCGAACGGTGCAGCGTCCGTGTGTATAGCCGAGCGAAGCAAAAGAGGATATATATGCCAGAAAGAGATTAGTTGGTGGGTACTGATACCTACTCTTCTGGGCCGAATACCGTATTCCCGAAGACGTTCAGCTTGATATAGGTACCTAGGTGAGCATTGCTGAACGGCGTGTGCCTGGGATAATTAGATCCACTTACAATGGGATTATGTGAGGAAGTACCTGATTGTGCCTGAGGAGCGGCACCATCAAAGTGGGCGACGGTGGACAGCAATAATATCCAACCGGAAAACAGCCCCTTCGAGTCGTCAGGGGGTACGAGTAGGGATGGCTTCATATTGCAACTGCTGATAGGTATAGGGGCCACTACCAGCCGCCATGCAAAGGGTTACCGAGGCGTAATATTCACCTGCCTATTATCTCTACGTATTCGCCATGTTGATGAGTAGGTACTAAACATGTTGAATTAATTAATTTACGTATGGGGCCTACGAGGTATGAAGGAAGCGTAAAGGCCAATGGTTGCTTGGTAATGAGCATTCCTATAGGCATAAGTGTCCTCCACGATCGGGCGGCGACGCATCCCCCACCAGTCGCACCCCGTTTCCAGGGCATGGGGTTCGCACCTTAGATCTCATCCTTTCGACATCTTATCCTTTCGACTTGTGGGTGATAACGGTGTTGCGATTATGCTGGTTGGGGTCATCCTCTCCACCACTCACACTCTATCTAGCGTGTCGGAACGAGCAGGTGGATAACGCGTTGTCTTTTAATAACTATGATGTACTCTACGAACCACTCTACTGGGCATATTCCTCGTTCATAATTGGCATCTAGATGACGACGGGCCGACATTATTCAAGTTGCATTACTGATATTGAAGTCGATACAGTATCACTAGATGCGTTCTATCTATAGAACTTTATACGTATCGTTTCCGCTAATCGCTAGGGGACATATGCATCTTTATTCGCAGTACGCTTATATATACCGCGGCCTACCAAAAGTAGAAGAGAGAGGGCGATGATCAAGTCATCCACCTCCTAGGATGCTTCCACCAACGGCAAGCCAGCTGAGCAAGCGCACCCAAACTAGACAACTGAGACCTGCCTGATGCGTCGGCTGCGGGAAGCAATGCCACCAGCCTAGTTAAGACCATTCGACCCCAGGAGTAACGCCGTCTAATAAGCGAACAGACGCTGCTAGAAAATAAGGCGGATCTGGCTGATCGTAATGCTTATTGGGCAGCCTCTAAGGCGGCGGCGAGATTTTCGACGACATCCCGAATTTGCGACTTCGAGAAATGTGGAGAGGGGCCAAAGGCGCCGATGTCCACGGTATTCCCGCGAACCTGCACCTCGATATCTAAGGTATGCTGTTGGAGAAACACAAATTAGATGCCTGATGTTGATAAGTATTCATGCCGATTGAGCCAAACTTACTATATACGCTTGCTTCACTTTATTCTGGGAGACGAAGTCTGCGTTTGGCTGTGCGAGATGCTGCGGCAGAGTAGTGCTCTCGGGCCCAGTGGACTCGAGCATGTTCGGACCGAGACTCGCGCGAGGGGTGCTTAGATCTTGAGGAGCCAGGAAATTAACAATAGTTTCTACCTGTATTCCGGTCCAATCGAAAATCTCCCACAGGTATACGCTAGCATGGTCGAAACTACTGATTTCGACGAGGTCCTTCTGAATCTCGATAGCTAGCGTAGCTAATGGCCGATCTAGCGGTCTTCTAACCACGAGAGGGACGATGTTAAGGGTCGGAAGAGGTGCTTCTTCAAGCCCGATGACATTGGATCGGTTTGCGAGATAGACGCCGAAAACAACATCCGCACGATCATGACAGGCATCGTCCCGGCGTAGTGACTCTGCATAGACCCGGGCGTACGCCGCAAAGAACAGGGCTTGAAGCGTAGTTCCGTGGGTTGAACTTATGTTCTTAAGGCTCGAGATGTTGCTAAAAGCCTTTCTCTTGAGGTAGCTATGTTGCGCGATTATTTCGGGGTTCGGTGTAGATTCTGTTTGAGGGGGTGGGCGTATCGTGATTATCTTTTGTAGATATGAGGTCCAAAACTGCTGTCGCCGCTGACGGACATAGGGAGAAGCGTGTTTCAAGACAAATTCGTACCACGTAGACGTTCTGAGACCTATGGGGGGTGTGGGCGTGCCGTCGCAAAGCTCCATGAAACGGTTTAGCATGACTGGTAGGCTGACGCCGTCATATAGAGCGTGGTGAAGGTATAGTTGCATGCACGTTTCTTCTGCCTCAATCTCCACTTGAATTGAAGCAAACGGGGTGGAAACCTGACGAACAGATTTTCCTTCATCGTGGAGAAACTCCTTCGTGGCATAGATTGTCTTGGGCTTCGCGACAATTTGGGCGAAGGGAACATTTACGGATCCCGTGGAGGCGAAGTACGTCCTAAGAATCGGATTTTCATCAACTAGCCTCGACCATGCGCTCGCAATCTTTTCGCTGCTCATGGCCCTAGGTAACCGGTAGTAAAACCTAGAGAAGAAAAGTAGACCGTCCGTATTCTGCCAGGCACTGAGCATATACACTTGCATTGGCAGAGCTGGTAGAACGATTTCTACCTCTGCCTCGCCCACACCGGCAATTTGACATAGCTTAGCGTGATCAATGCCGGGGAGAAAATGAAATGGCATGTCTGGAGGGGCGATGTCTTTACTTGGTCGATGGAAAATGTCTCGTATCGACCCCGCCTTTAGTAGGTCTCTGACTGAGACCTCGAAGCCTCGTTTTCGTAGCATGGAAGATGCCTTGATGGCACTGATGGAATCAAGACCGAGGTGGTAGATGGTGGAGTCGGGGTCGATAGAGTGCGCATCTACCCCCGATAATTCAGACAGGACCTCTATCACGGGCGACCCTGTGATGGGAGACTGTGCCTGCGGCGGAGAGAATGACGTCTTCATTCGGCCATCAGATTTATTGCTGATCAACTCGAACGGCCCCAGGCCGCAGACGGTGACCTTGTCTGACAGGGGATCGAATTCAAGGATATCCGCACCATGGCTGCTACCAAAATACCGCAAAACCTCATCGATGTCGGCTAATATTCGACGAGCATCCTGCGCGGAGACATATCGCCCATCACCGGCGATGCGCCACGTAATTGAGCTCTCCGTGATATCCATCTCGACACATATCGGGTATTCCACGGCAGACGACGCGTCAACGGAGTGGAGTATGGAATTATGTGCCATTTCGTCGTCTTTAACGTTCTGCAAGAGAAAAAGGGTGTTGAAAAGCTTGCCACCCTGGAACTGTGCTAGCCTTTGGGCTTTTCGGAGTGGATAGTGCTGGTGCTCTATGATATCCGACATCGTAGCCTGTAGGTAGCTGAAATACTCTGTCGTGTCGCCGTGGAGCACAACCCTAAGGGGAACGGTATTCATGGTTGGGAATAGCAATCCACGAGATTCATCGGTGTCTCTACCCGATAGGACTACCCCAAAGACAACGTCCAGGCATCTCGACAGTGAAGCGAGCACAGGCGCCCAGCATCCCTGCGCTAGAACCTGGGGGGTGATGCGGTACTTCCGGCATAACGCTTTCATCTCCTCCCGACTTAATACCGACACCAATTCTGCTCGGTGAATGACTTCTTCATTTTCTGATAGATTCACATCCGGGTCCAGTATGGTAGAGCGGGCGTCGGTTAGAAAGTCGGCCCAAAACCTCTCGCCGATGGTTGCCGTATTCAAGAGTACACGGGAAAGGAACGTCTCGTATTCGCTCCGTGCGTGATAATGGCCCTCATACGCTGCGTTTACGTCCTTGTGGAGTAAGTCGAGTGACCATCCGTCGTAGAGAGCGTGGGCAATTGAAAGGACGAGATAGCGGTTCTCGGGCGTCGTCGCGAAAGTGAGTTGGAACAAATCAGCCATCCCGTTCTTTGCCAGTGCACGATTTCGGGCATGGTCGATGACCGTCGCGACCTGATCCAGGCTGGGTAGTTCCACGGCTGGGTTAAACGTAAGAGGTTCATCTCGCACGATTTGACAGAACGCGGCCCCGATTTGCGGGCTGTGGATCTCAGCGAAAGTTGTCCGTAGGATCGGTGAGTTGGCGTATACGGTTTTCCAGGCCAACTGTAGTCGATCGACATCGACGTCGGGAGAAATTTCCAGCACATCATGGTTAAAGTATCGACGGAAGCCCGATAGTAGCATTTCCGCGACCATAGATTCCTGCAATGGGGTTGGTGGCAGGACGGTTGTAACTTGGGCAAGCTCCATTCCATCCTGTTTTAGAGCATCTCTCAATAGCACATTTGAAACTTCAAGGCCAGTGGCTCCAACGGCGTTTCTGGGGCTAGATGTATGCACTCGTTCGTTCGACAAGAGAACGCTCTTGATAGTAGGGGCCTTTAATAATTCCCCGATCGTGATATGTAACCCAAGCCTTTTCAGCCTGGCTACAAGCTTGATGAGATCGATGCTATCCAAACCAAGCTCAAGGAAGTTTGACGTTCCAGAAATGTCTCCGTCTGGCAACCCGGCTAGGGAAGCAACTTCGCGTTGAATTTCCCGGCCATGCTTCGTCTTAACAAGCTCATAGGTGCTAACACCTTCAGCACGCGTGAAGTCATGTGACTCCTGTCTCGCGGGTGTAGGGGCGCCACTTTGAATGCGCTCTTTCGGAAGCGAGGTAGTATTGTTTGAACAGGCTAGTGCTATGAGAAGCCTAGCGAATTCGTCTAGGAGTATGTTGGTGATGGGAGAACCGTTTTGACGAGATAAAGCGTTGATCTTGAGGGACTTGTCTCGCAACAGAGTGACCTCAAGTGCGAATGGGTAGTCTGCAACCCCGATAGATTGTATGGAGGACCAGAAAGGATTTGTATCTCCTACAGCGAGCGGATCTTCCCGTTCGAAAACGAAGAGGCTATCAAACAAAGGCTGTCCTTTTGAGCACCATTTCTGTATATCACGAAGTGGCGTGTGAACAAATTCCAGCACCGAGGCATTATGCTCCTGGACTTCCGCGATTAGCGAGCTCCAGGTTTTATGTCGAGAGATCTCTACACGGAAAGGCAACGTGTTGAAGATGGGACCAATCGAATTTTCGACGCCGTCAAGAGCCAAAGACCTCCCAGAAAAAATGATACCGATGGTTGGCACAAATCCGAAGTGTTGATGCAGCGTGACCATCCACACGGCTTGAAGCAATGCCTGATGTGTCACCTGGAGGGCGACGCGCCGCGTTTCCAAGCCCTCGATCTGAAGGACTCGGGATACGGTGGTCTCGGATACCCCCGACTGACCGGCGGGGATTGGTAGTGGTTGAAACTTCCACCCTTTAAATCTTCTCTCCCAGAACGGCCTGGATCCGCCGTACCTCAAGAGTGGTCCGTGAGGAAGTACTTCAATAAACGCAGGACCGGACGGTGGTAGTTCGTGGCGGTATTTCGAATTCACGGTCCGAAGAAGGAGCTCAAAGCTGCGACCATCATAAACGGCATGGAAAAGCCGGATGAGAAGAACGTGCTTTTCACCGTACTCAACATGGTCAATCTCCATGGGGTAGCGCAATGTCTCCCGGTTGGAGAGGATCCAACGTTCACGGCGATCAGAAGCGAAAGTATCAATTTCATCGCCCTTTTGACCCATTTCAAACCAGCGTAGGGACTTCTGTTTAAAGGCAACCTGGATATGCCCGTCGGACGTCGGGAGAAACGCCGTCCTCAAGAGGGCGAATTGTGCGAATATACTATCCCAGCATTCCTTTAGACGGGTTACGGACACCCATGTGTTTAAGTCAACCTGGAACTGATTAAAATAGGCGGTCAGGGTCCCGGAGGCCGTGGATCTAGTGATCATCCCCTCCTGGAGCGGCGTACAGGGAGCGATGTATTCTACATCGTCCTTATCAATACCCAGTGTAATACAAGCCATGCTGATGTGTCTATGATAGATGGCACGGATGGACTGTTGGGCCTGGAGGACATGGCGAATGGTTGTGAAAGTGCCCCCTTGTTGAAGAGCGCGAGACAGGCTGCTTATCTGAGGGTGACGTAAAATGACTGAAGGACTGGCAGAAGGGAAGCTTTGCGACCGAAGGATTAAGGCTAGTCGCGCTACGTTGATAGAATCGATTCCGAGTTCGAAGATTGACGACGATGGAGTCACGTCGACATCAGGGATCTGCGTGACGGTTGATATGGCGGTGGATATAAACTGCTCCGCCTCGCTCAGCGCTCTATCGATCCCAGCTGAACCCGCTGTAAATTCCCGCAAACGTTGATGAGAAAGGTCCGCGAAAAGCTGTTTTAACAGCTTAACGTCTGCTTTGTTATTCGTTGATAGAGGGATGAATGATACGCATAGAACATAGGTAGGAACCATGTATCCGGGCAGACGCGCCTTGCAAGCTTTTAGCGCTGCCTGGCACAGTTCCGTTTCGAGGCATATTCTTAGGTCTGTAGATGGGCTCGTAATTGGGGCAATAAAGGATACGAGAAGATCCCTATCCTGCCCTGTGCGCCTGACAACTGAAGTTACTACGTCAGCTAATTGATGTGGGAGACTAGTCTTGATCGCGTGGTTTATCTCGCCAATTTCCAGCCTCTGGCCCCGGAGCTTTACTTGGTCATCTATGCGCCCTAGGAAATCGAATGAATTATCATAAAGGATGCGGACAAAGTCACCAGTGCGGTAGATTCGTTCGTCATGCTGCCTAAGGGTGGGAAAACGTTCCTCGGTGAGCCGTTTTCTATTGAGGTACCCTTTGCCGACGAGTCTTCCCGACACGCATAATTCGCCGACGCCACCTCTGAGGACAGGGGCTTCTGTGCCGGGTTGTAAAACATAGGTACCGACGTTTGGGAACTGAGTTCCGATATTAGACGATCTCCCGTTGTGTGGTACTCTTTGAAGCATTGTAACTCCAATGGTCGCTTCTGTAGGGCCGTAGGCATTGTATATTACTTCTTTTGGCCCCCAGATCTGTAAGATCTCTTCTCGTAGTTGCTCTCCACCGGTGATGAAAACACCTTTGCAGAGGCTCGGCACTTCGTCGGGATGGATAAGTCTTGCTAGACTCGGCGTCAGGTCAACGTGGGTAATGTCTAACTTTGATATTGTCGCAGTTATATCACTAAGTATGAGGTCCTTAGGCGCCGAGACCACGGTGATGCCGACGAACCAGCTCCAATACTGTTCAAGAACTGATACGTCGAAGTGAAACGAGGCGAATTGCAACCATCTGGAGTGGCTGTCCCAGTGTCCGGAAAAGAGCTGCCGAAACGCAAGCATCGATTGGACGGCGTTATCGTGACTGATTAGACACCCTTTCGGGGTTCCAGTGGTACCACTTGTATATAGACAATAGCATGTATCTGACGGAGATATAGAGGGCCGTGTCGAGAATGGTGCAGAGGAATCTAAGAGATTTCTTTCATCGACCACGTGCATTGGGATTGTGGAATTGAGGATTAAACTACTGTCTTCGGTGAGTAGGCAAGCAGCTGTCGAATCGCTCAGGATGAATTCTAGTCTTGATACAGGGGCCCCGGGATCGAGTGACAGGAACGCACAACCCGCCTTGAGAACGCCGAGAATCGAAAAGTACGCCTCAGGACACTTGTTAAAACACGTAGCAACAATGTTACCAGGGGGCGTGTTGCTCTCTAGGAGCATATTAGCCACTCTATCCCCCATCTCGTTCAACTCTTGGTAGGTCCAACTTCGTCGACGAACAGTTTCTCCGAGCTCTTCGACGAACTCGAGGGCGGTGGCGGTAGGGGTGCGCTGAGCGGTTTGCTCTACAAGCTGGTGCAATAGCCCCACGGGCGAAGGCAGGTATTCGTGGGTTGCGGGGATGATGGAGAAGAGGTCAGGGATACAATCGGCGAGTTCGTCAACGTGGCCTCGAGGAAATTCCAGCAGGTTCATGAGCACGGCTTCAAATTGGCAAAGCATTATATGTGCTTGCTCTGCAGGAAGAGTATCTGTGTTGTGTGTCATGTTCAACTTGAGCCTGCCCGTGGCTGTCTCGACCACTTCCAGTGCGACTGCGTATTCTACCGATGCCAGCTCACTTATTACCTCCCATGGCATAGGTTCTGTTTCGGGAACGGCGTGGTAAGCCAGTATCGTGTCGAAGATCTGATGGTCTAATCTACCAAACCACCGTTGTATTTGGGGAAGAGGGGTCCCTTCATATTGCCGTAGGCTAGTGTTGTATTGCATCATGTACTTCAATAGCTCCGCGTTGGACTCCAAGTTTTGGGCGATGATGGGAAGGGTTGCGACTGTCGGAAATATTACTCTCCTCTCGTCATCGGTAGTCCGACGGTCAAGAACAATGCCAAATGTAACGGACCTCTCCCCGAGGTACACAGATAATACGCGTGTCCAAGCCGCTTGCAACGCGGCGCGCACCGTCATATCTGCTTCGCTAGCATGACGGCGGATAATCTGTCGGTTGGCGTCGCATAGCCTGGAAGTCGTCAAAACAACGCCGCTTACGACACGGAGGGGCGTCATTGTTGGAAATTTGTTGAAAACGAAGTTCTCGGCCTTTCCTTTCCAGAATGCCTCCGAAGCCGACTGACAATGCGTGGTATCGAGTTGGGCCGACAAGACAGGCAGAACCGGCTGCACTTTCTCTCCAACCGTCCCTGAAAGAGTCTCTGCGAGATCACAGAGTAATCTGTGTAGCGAAACCGCATCATATAAGGCATGGTGAATTCCAAGATGCATTGATCGCTGCCCAAACCCATCATCTAGGAGGAGAACCTGCCAGGGTGGTTGTGAAAGTAATTCCGAAAAAGCCTTGGAAGAGGCGCCTGCACGCCATTCCAAAATATCAAACGAATTGGACTGGCAGATGGATACCGGCGGGGCGAAATCTGCCTCGGGGTAAACTACCATTGCGTACGAGCTGTCTCGGTGATTGACTGTTGCAAATCCGGTGCGGAGTATCTGGTGGCGGGCGGCCAGTTGCCTCCACGCTGTGGCGAGCTTTTCGAGGCTGATTTCGGCATCCAAGGACCAGCTTATGTAGTTGAAGTAGTCCGCTCCTCCTGAGTTGAGGAACCGGGAGATCATGCCCTGCTGTGACGATGTGCAAGGTAATATCGCTTCGTATATCTTTGTTAGTAGGTCCCCGGCGACAGCGTTCCGAAAGCTATCAAAATCGTAGGCCGGTGCCACCTCTCTACCACCTCGAGAGGTCAATTGAGAAGCGATCCCTGCGCAGGTTGGGTTTTGTATCACATCCACCGCGGCAACAGGACAGGATTCTCGGCGAAGGAGAGTGGCGAACTGAACAGCGCCTATGCTGTCCAAGCCGTAACGGTATATCGGTGTGTGGCGCCCAATTCTTTCCTCCGGTACATTCACTAATCGTGATAACACTGAACGAACCTTTCTTTCTGCATCAGTCCACTTCTCGCCAGGCGGTCCTAACGCCGTGTGAGCCGTCTCGCGGATTGTATCGTGTGATACGGACATTTGCACGATCTCCCTTTGCCACTGGGTGGGTAGTTGGGAAGTCGAAATGATGTGAGAAGAAGGGTGGTCCAGGTAAGTGTTGAGAACATGCTGGAAGAGACTCAGAATGAATCCCGAAGTTTGATAGGAGACAATCAATCTGCCGAAGCGTTAGAATGCGGAGGTCTACCTTGTGAATGGCAGAAATACTGACGGGTTGCGGTGTAGTTGTAGCAGGACGGCGTCTTTGTGCTTTAAAGGAGTGATCTCGCACACGAGAGGGACCTAGATACAAATTTAGTTTCTGGCGCCGAGCAAGACTAACACGGCTAAGCAGTCTCTTACATCCATTGCTCCTTGTTCCAGCTCCAGCGTCCAGATGGTCTCGTCTAGAGGCTCCGGTGGCGGCTGAAGGAGGAGGACGGTGTCGAAAAGAGTCGAGAGCTGAAGCGACGACTGTATATGACGAATGCTGGAAAATTGATACGGTATCATCTCAGTGTTCAAATGTTGGAACTTTTTCACAACTTCAAGAAAGAAATTAGCATGGGATAGATTCATTCGAATCGGTACCGTGTTGAAACATGGCGCTATGAGCTTATCGACCTGCTCTAAGGAGATAGAACGCCCGCTCACTACATTCCCAAAGCATACGTCTTTGGTTTGCTGGAAGAGTGATAGGGTTACCGCCCATGCTCCTTGGAAAAGCGGCAATAGTGCTACACCCAGATCCCGCAGTCCTGCTGTTAGAGAAGAAAGCGAGTGGGTAGATAGCTTCGCAGATACCATCCTTGGATTAGTATCGTGGCTATACGATCGTTGCCCGAGGCGAGAAGGAGAGAAAGAACGGAATTGCTCCGCCCAAAAGTCATCCGCACCAGCAACCAAAGGAAGCGATTCTCGGAGAAACGAGTCGAAGGTAGGCATAATTGGCAGCGGCTCGTGACGCACTGCTGCTTCAACCTCTGCTAGTAGACTCCTTGCAGAAACTCCGTCATATATAGCGTGATGGCAGACGAATGACATATACTCGGTAGAACCTCCCAAGGAAAATAAGGCGAGCGAAACTGGGGGCTTGCCGGAATCAACTGGTACCGGAAGGGACATCTTGTGATTGAGGATATGCTCTTGAAAGCTGGCATCGTCTACATCAAATGTTTGCCATAAAGGGAAGTGAGGCTTCTCAAGAACTACCTGAACAAACGGGAATCGAGGGTCTTCGGTCGTCACGAAGCATGTTCGCAGGATCCCGTGGCGTTCAAACATCCTGTCCCAATGCCTTGATATGATAGAGGATGACATTCGCAGTTGAAAAACCATCTGGTTGCAATAAGATGTCTCAACATTGGACGACTGTGGCACCGAAAGCATTGCTTCCTGTAACGGAGTACATGGCAGAACAGTTCCTACGCCCTTCTCCCCCCAGTCTGTGGCAAAGCGCGCGAGTACCGTATCTACAAGTGACGTTGGTAATAAGGTAGCATTGACCTCTGTCACAGGCGGCGCGGCATCACTGTTGATGGCAATGGCTAGCCTTCCGACTGTGGGGTTTTGAAGGATGAGAGATAGGGGTATGCGCTTTCGAAATAGTGCTTGCAATCTCCGCGCAAGGGCCATTGCGGAAACTGAATCTATGCCGAGGGAAGCGAATGAACTCCAGCGGCGAACTACTTTCGTGTCGAGATTGAAAGTCTCCGAAATGGCTTTGGATATCAATATCTCGGACTCGGTCCACTCGAGAGAGTCTTGATCAGCGAGATCTTGCGCCGAGCTACATATGCTTAGCACTTCAGCAGATACCTCAGTAATAGCGCGACGTAATAGGCCATAGTTCACTTTCCCGGACGATGTCATCGGTAGGGAGGATATGGGAAGGATGAAGGATGGCACCATATACGCTGGTAGGGCCGCGTGAAGTGTCTGATGCAGCTCCATAACCGTCTGCCGTGTAGATGTTGTTAGCGGAAGAATACTGAATCTCAGAGACATCTGGGTAAGAGGGACGTAAAATAAGGCAAGTTGCTGAGAGGAAGAGCCCTCAAGAGTTACTAGCAAGCTTGCGCAGGCATTGGCGAAACCGCTCTTTAGCACGGTCGCCTGGATCTCTCCGAGTTCGATCCTCTGCCCGCGGAGCTTCACCTGGGTGTCCATTCTGCCAAGAATAATGAGAGAGCCATCGGGGAGCATGCGACCGACGTCCCCTGATCGGTACAAGCGCCCGTACTCATGATGTTCGAAAAACTTGGCAGCTGTCGCCTCAGGCATTCCAAGATAACCCGCGGCAACCTGGTCGCCCCCAAAACATAGCTCACCGACACAGCCGAGAGGGACTAGCTCCTCGGTACTTGGCGAGAAGACGAAAGCTGAAGTATTCTCGAAAGGCCACCCCAGATATTGGCACGAGTCCTGCCGCGCAACCTTCCTCACTGTACAAATATTTGTCGTTTCGGACGGCCCGTAGCCTACGTTTCGTATGTTAGAATTGCCCTCCGACGAGATCTTTTTATCGCGTTTACCTTGCCACAGCTGATCTGCCCAACGCTCTAGTACTTTATCTGTCATTGGCTCACCCGATGTAACTAAAAATTTGACAGTAGGCACGCGGTCGGGTTCGACGAGGGAAGCCACAGTGACTGTCATGCTCAGGTGAGTAATTTTCATCGTCTGTAGGGCCTTTTCGATATCTTCAAATAGTGTGTCATTCGTGGCAGCGCACAAACACATGCCGTTGCCCCATGAGAAGAATATCTCAAAAACAGATACGTCGAACGCTTGGGAGCAAGCTTGCAACATGCGGTCGGAAGGGTTGTGAGGGTAGATCCGGGACAGGACCTCAATATTGCTGAGTAGATTCGCATTCGTGACAGATACCCCCTTCGGGGTCCCCGTGGTTCCACTCGTGTATATAACGTAGGCAAGGTGTGACGGATCTGCATCGGGCACTTCGACGTCGGAGTCAGGATAGTCGTGGAGAAGCGTGTAGCGTTCGAGGTTGATAACGGCTTCGGAGATTTGTCGCGGCGAGGTATCGTCGACGAGACAGAGTTGGGGTTGCGCCTGCTCGAGAATCAGTAGTATACGCTCGAAGGGTGTGGTGGGAAGGACGGGAAGATACGCACAACCGGCCTTTACTATCCCCAGGATCGTGCAATATAACAGCGGTGACTTTTCCATGACCAATGCGATGACACTGCCAGGGACAGCGCCGGATTCACGTAAGTATCTAGCTATTTGGTTCGCTCTGGCATTCAACTCCCGATACGTCAAGGTACAGCCCTGGGAATTGGCGGCGGTGGTCGATGTGGCGAAACACAAGGCATCGTAAGTTGGGAATCTCGTCACCGTTCTCTCTACTAGTGCGGCTAGACTTGGAAGCACCTCTTGAGGCTTGGGGTTCTGATTGTAATGGGATAAGCTGGCCGTAGGGAAGCAACGCGAGATGCTTTCAAGTTCCTTCTCTCCATTTTGAAAAAAATAATTGACTAGGCATTCTAGATGGCCGAAAAGGGAGTCCACTTGGGACTCCGAAAAAGCGTCCGAATGCCACGTAAGCTGGCACGAGAATCGATCATCGAGAGGTGAAATCTCGACGAGGAGCTTGGCCTCAACCGAGTCCCTATGCCATAGTTCGCGAATTGTGTCGTTGTTTTTCTTCCGACTGTAGAGTGTTTCTTGGTACGCGAATATTAATTCGAAAAGTTTTTGACCGTGAGGAACTCCTGCCACCCGTTTCATGCCGACTAGGGGAAGGGTATCGTGTCTTAGGGCCTCCCGATTATATAGGTGGATACCCTGCAGGAGATCGGCGATGGTCTTGTATTGTTTCAAATTGATTCTGAGGGGAAGAGTTGACATGCAGGGACCCATTATCTTTTCGATCCCTGCTACCGGACGAGTTCGACCAGATGATACGGAGCCGATGAGCGTGTCTTGGACACCGTTGACTGCCCCCCAGAGCCAAACTAGACAGGCTTGGAACACGACTTGAGGGCCGATAGAAGAGCTAAGCGCAAAGTCCCTTGCTTGTCTAGGATTTACCTGAATCTCTCTAGAGATCGACGTAATTTCAGGGTTGAAGACGGCTACTGTTTTAAAATTTGGGAACGGTGCCGGTACCCAATCCTGAAGCTTTTCTGCCCAGAATTCTTTTGCGTCCATTAGTCTGCCCTCCATGGAGGTGGACAGATGCTGTGTTATCTGCCTGAACTGGGGCCTTTCTATCGGCGGCTGGCCGCGTGCGAGTAGAGATAAATCTTCGAGCATGAGATCCATAGTCCATCCGTCATATATAGCGTGGTGAAGCGTTAGCCTGACCGTATGGTGGCTAGGCGAATTGTCGAGTATGATTTCAGCTTTGAACGGATGCCGGAGGAAAACCTCGACATTGACACATTCGAGAGATTGAGTAGCCTGGCTCACGACCTCCATCTGCTCATCTCTAAGCTGTTTCCAAACGACTTGCCGCAAATGATGGCCGACGTAGACAAACCCAGCACGTAAATTTTCGTTGCGTTGAGCGAGAATCGAAAACCACGATACGATAGCGTTGGCGCTTATATGACTCGGGAATAGAAGCTCAACGCGATTAACATACAGTCGAGCGTCTTTATAGGTCTCCGCGACCATTGACTCCTGAAGGGGAGTGCATATCTCTATGCGTTCCGCATCCTCCAGGTGCGGCGGCATGGCATCATCGGGTCTCAGGGGAGTTCGCACACGATCATCCGCGGAAGAGCGGATATGATCCAATGGTTTCACTATATCGCGTCGGCCAACGACTAGGCGGTGTAGCTCTCGGACCGCTGTCGCATCCAGGATCTCGACAGGGCTGACGAAAATTCCGAGCCTTCTAATGAGACATGAATATTCAATGGCGCCTAGGGAGTCCAATCCGAGGGAGGCTAGGTGGGTGGACGGAGCAGCACGTCGTCCGAGGATTGCCTCTGCCATCTCGCAGAGCTGACGCTCTAATTCATCTCTGAATCGCTCCTCGGGGACAATAATGTTAGGAGGCGTATTCTCGTAGGACTCAACCAACGATTTGCTGTCGATCTTACCGGAGGGCAGGCGGGGAAAGTGTCGCATTATCTGAATGTCGGCGGGGATCATGAAGGCTGGCAACCAGGACCTGCATCGGGCAAGGATGGCCTCGCGCTGCCCCGGGGTGAATTCATCTTCGACTGCGGCAAAAGCTACCAAGACATTGGAGATGATTGTGGAAAATGCCCCGTGACACCCTGGTGTCCGAAGGACAGCGTGCTCGACCTCTCCCAGCTCAATTCTTTGACCGTTCAATTTGACCTGGCCGCCGCCGATCCTTCCCATACACTCGATCGTGCCATCCGCCAGAATTCTGGCCTGGTCTCCGGTCCTGTAAACGCGGCCCCAACGCGTGTTTAGGAACACTGCTGATGTTTGCGAAGGCCGGTTGACGTAGCCCGTAGCAATTTGGCTACCGCCGATAGCAAGCTCTCCAACTTGGCCGAGAGGGACGATTCGAAATTCGGACGCGTCGGCGTCTACAACAAATGCTGACACGGTGTCGAGCGGAACCCCGATGTTATATCTGCTCTGACTCTTCGGGAACGCGGGCAGCAGAGTACTAAAGCTCTCCCGGGAAAATGAGTATCAATTCTAGACTGTATGGCCATCAAACAGTGACTCACCAGTGAATGGTAGCTTCGGTAGGGCCATACATTCCCCAAAGCAACCCGCCCTCTGATTCATCACCACCAAATTCGCGGATGACGGGTTCGGTGAGCATCTCGCCAATGGTTAGTAGGAGCCGCAGTCCCGGGGCGTTGCTTCTCGTCCTCAGCAGACTACCCGCAACCGACGGAGTGAGTTCGCATGCGTCTACCCGCATCTCTCTCAAGGTACCAGGAAGGTCCGTCAGCATCTCCGAGCGGTCGCACGACACGAGTGTTCTGCCGCGGAACAAGGGAAAGAAAATCTCAAACACGGCTACATCAAATGTGGGCGCGGCGAACTGAAGGAAGCGTGCAAACGGTGGAATGTGGCGGTCGTGAGCGAGTAAGCTCTGCGTCGCGGCAAGATGAGATATCGCAACACCCTTGGGGGTTCCGGTAGAGCCCGAGGTATACATGACATAGGCGAGATCGTCGGCTCTTGGCACCCTGCAGGGAGCCGCCGTATTCATATTATGGGCCGGAATATCTAGCAGTTGATCAACCGACATGACCCTGTACACGCCATCCTCACTCTCCGGGATCTTGGACATCGACTCAGGGCAGGCGAGCACCAGCCTGGCGCCGACGTCGCGCAAGATGAATTTTATACGTTCCTGGGGAGCGTCGAGATGCAGCGGACAGAACGCCGCTCCGGACTTGAGGATTGCGATCAGTGCGGCGTAGAGCGCGGGAGACTGTGGCATCAGAATCGGGATTACAAGCCGGTCCTTGACGCTACCAGGGCCCAGCGCAGCGGAGATTCGCGCGGCCAAGGCTGTCGAAGCAGCGTGGAGCTCGGGGTAGGAAAGGCTGATGGTTCGGCCGCCGGCGCCGGTAGAGTAGTCGACGGCCGGAGAGCCATCGCTGCTTGACAAAGCTACTAGGTCATGGAGGAGATCTGGCCCCTTAACAAGGCAGGGGGAGGGGTTGAGAATCGAGAGCCCACCCGGATCCATGGCCGCTGACTCCATGTGGACGAATAAGAAGACGATTTATCCGAGAGTGATGACCGTCCGTCAATCCTACTTCGGTACGAGGTGGCGAAATTATGTCGCAAAACACGGGCGCAGCCGGAATCACAGTTCATCATGGGGGTAGACAGCCAATAGCAAAATCCTAAGCTGTTGCTGCCGCTGTCTCTGTTGGCGAGGCTGCTTCCGTAATCGTAGTCTAGCTGGCCGAGACAGGTCGGTTGATGTCGATCTGCTGGGCGTTAGCCATCGGCTCTCAACCGCTAGAGATAGGCGCTACTGAGCGCATCCATGAGCAAGAGGGTCTTGGTCACAAAATTATTGCTTCACGTTTGGGCTTGGGGTTGAACGCCGCCATCATCGCTTTATCTCCGAGGTGATGTTCGGATTGCGCTTCTTTACGTACCTGCTGGCTAATCCAACCCCGACCGTGGTGTGGCTTGTGGCGTCCTCTCTAACTGGGGGCCGCTTTGCGACGCATGCGGGTTTGGCAGGCATCCAAGCCTCTTTTCCGAGGGGCGACGAGGTATGTACCAAGATGTTGCGTTCCAGCACGGGATGTGTCTTCTATATTTCCATGTAATCAAGTCCCGTCTCTGATTGACGGATGAGAATGCCGGTTACACAAATGAACAGCTGAACGGCTGGATGGATGGGTTTGAGTGTTGATGTTTTTCTCTGATGCCTTTTCTGCTCACGTGGAGAATGTCATTACGTTTGCTTTCCCCGTTGGCGTGGCTTAGTAAGCTCCACTACATGCTGCCAAGACTTTGGATGACCAGCAGGTGAGATGATCCGCGCCAGGCCGGGTGTGGGTGGTAGGTTAGGTAAAGTTATCTTGGCTGATTGATTGAAGGTATCTAAGGTACCTAATGTAGTCACCTTTGGGGGAGGCTCCCTAACCTTAGGGTCTAAGACTCTACTTGGTACCTGTGTCTCCTTGTATCCAAAGTTTCGACATGGCGTTTTCTTCAAACTGTACGTACCACATCAGGTGTCTCCTGCCTGGCCATTAGATTAGGTACCTCAAGGTAGGTAGGCAGGTACCTGAAATACTTTGGGCACATATAGCGGGCGCGCATGGACGATACAGGTACCTCCTGCTTGGGTCTGGTACTTTTTCGTATCTTCGATCATCTACCTACCTAGGCGGTACCTGCCCCGGAGCACTTGCAGAGATCGGTAGGCGCCCCCATCCTATAAGGTCTCCCGATGGAGGTACGTCCTATGTTACATCGAACCTTTTGCGAGAGGCATTTTCGAAACATAAATACCTCGAGGATAGGCCTGCCTGCCAGCCATCTACTAGGTCACAACGTTTGGCCGTGGCAGCTGGGTAGAACGTGCAACCGAAGACTTAGTACATTGAATGTATCGATGTGGATACAAGTAATTCCTCGTCTGCCACATGCCGTGGAATATGCTAATGTACCTACGAAGGTACCTACGAGGTACTATGAGGTAGGGGAAGCCGTAGCGGCCAGAGCTAATCTCGAAGCAGAGAGGTGCACACCTGCCTAGGCAGGTGGGGTATGGTGGTGAGGTAATTAACCCGCAATGAATCCGTCGATACCTTCCTATTAACCTTCCTTGTAGGAGGAGTTCCCCGGTGAGCCTACGTTAGGTAGCTGTACTAGGAGGTAGGTTTTGTACAGCCTCTCGTATTCATATAATTCTCTAATGCATGTCTGTGTCTCTTCGAAGCAGGACGGGCAATGATGGTCGGCATCGTATGTCGGTGGCCTCAGCCGCTCACAGAAACACAGAGCAGCCTATCCGGCATCGTGCCACCCCATCGGCGCTTCTGCACGCCAGCTCCTCGCGCAGACTCGATATTAGGTAAAGTCTTCTATGACGGTAGTATTTCTGCCGTTATATCTTCAGCCCCTGTGGAATCATAGATGCTACTAACATCCGCATGCGCAAAGGCCTAACTCGTCTCGTCTAGGTGACAACGACCAGCTCAGTACCGGCAGACATTCTAGTGGTGCCATTCGGATCGCCTAACCTACCCCCCATCTGAGAAGCTCTCGCGCTGGAATTGCGCTTTGTAAATAGCCCACCCAGAACCATGTCACACAAGGTAGTAAGAGCTACACGGCTCAGGATGAATTCCCCTTTTCTCCTCACCCATCCAATCCAATCCCTAGCTGGTGCCGGGGTACCTGTCCTAGCCCGGGACCATGGCGACGCCTAGCAACCGATTCCGTGTTGAGATCTCGAGGTGATCTTATCAGATCATCAGATATTTTCACCATCTACGCATCCAGAGACTGGTACATTCCTCGCTTCTAACTGCCCCTGCCCGCTCTCCGCTTCCGTGCCTACCTTTCCTCACTTATGCCGCTCAACGGAATTATGCATTCTCACAGAAGCCACAATTCCCCTCTTGAGTTTGCTCGAGCTGTATTTCCTTCAAACCTTCTCTCCTATGCATGTTTCCTCTGAGTCTTGTCCCGTAGTGTGCCTTATGCGATTGTTCCTTAATTAGGCGGGATCTCCTAGTCTCCTCAACCTTGGGATATCTGCGGGTGTCTCGGGATAGCGTACTACTTTTTTTTTTTCACCCTGTGCCTTAGTGGCTTGTTCGCTTTTTCTTCGCATTTCCTCACTAGGCAGTTCGTCCGCATCTCACCCTACCCAGAAACTGGAATGAGGAAGTGCCGCCGAGCCGATCGGTTCTTGCGACTGGGTGGGCGGGATGGCGCCCCTTGCCTTACTACATACGTACATACAAAGAGGGGTGCATTGAGAATGCAACAATGAGGGGGCCTCATGGTAAAATTTTGCTTTCGAGCGAACAAGAAACAAAGCTGTCCCTTTCCCGGGCAGTCTAACCAAGTACGACGTAGGACGTGAGTAGGCGGTTAACGTCCGGGGAGGTGCATACACCCCTTCTCCTCGGCTCTTCTGAAAGTGCTGAGTTAGCCGTCGCCGATCTGTGGAATGACGCGCCCGCACGGACAAATGAAATCGGAGAGGAGGAAAATGAACCAAGGAAGGGAAGACAGAATCCAGGAATAGACGGGCCTTATATCTCCCAGGTGGGTACATCTCAATCGTTAGCTTATGTGCCTCTCAATATCAGTCTGGGATATCAGTCGGTCCCAGGGAAATAAATGCATAGGCGTTTGGAAGCGTAGGCTTACGAGGTAAGGTACCTAGCTTTCTCCGCGACACAGTACTAATAAGGTGCCCAGTGAGGAGTAAGAGTACGCATGTAGGCGTTCGTCTACCCTTACACTTGCATGGCTGCCACTATCCAGGGATCCATAGGCATTACCGACCCCATCCCGCTAACCTCTACCTAGGTAGTTCTGCTGAGGGCTGTGGCGCCTAGCCGTCATCGGGGACCGACGATATCCTCGGAGGACTAAGCTTTATGCACCGCCATCTTATCTGATCCGAAGATAACGCCGATGTCGCTAAGGCCAATGGCCACCTAGGCAGTTGGTCACTCTTGGCTAACATCTCTTCCGCTTTCCCCTTCCACTTGTCGGGCCTAGCGCCCTGGATGCCCCGATTAGCCTAACCCGCCCCTCCCGGTAATGGTATCACGACTGGCGCGGGATGCACCGTGACAAGCCTAAGCTGACCACGGAAATTCCAACTGCTGATGCGTTCGCAACGAGTTATAATTGTGACTACTTGGGGGCCTAGATGGGCCCGGCCGCTGAAGTCCTCCCGTGTCTCACTCCCTTCCCAGTACCACGGGTGGTCAGTTCGTTGGACCTAGTCCAGGATAGTCTATTTTATTCCGGCACTACGATGTGCCTACGTATGTGAACACTACCAGCCCAGATGACGACCTTCCGAGTCTATCACCCCACCTTGCATGTGCTGGAGCTCCCGTTGATCGCCAGCTGTCACTGTCTAACAGCTTGTTTTACCTACCTACCTAGCCAGTACTAGTTTACACATCCCCGGAGAGATGCAGCGGCCTCTCCCTCTTTCTCCCTGCCTCGCTCCCCCCTCTACCCTTCTTTGACCGGGACCGGACCGAGAAAGACAGGGACTGGACCGCACCCTGAATCCACAAGTTCATAGCACCTTTGCGATGTGGTACCCTGTCTGCCTGGGTACTTGACTGTGTCCGATCATTCAACGTGCCGAAGCCCTGCTAAACCCTCTGACAGACCCAAGCGAAGCCAAGGTACCTACCTACAGGGTAGCAGGGCCCTTGGCCATACCTTGCCTCGCCGGCTCAGAATGCAGACTCCATATAGCTATATATTCACCGAGCTGCCGTCTTCAAGCGGCTGGGATCTGAATCTTCGGCCTGTAGCCGCCATCCTTAGAAAATCCAAGGTCAGACAACGCCATCCCCTTCTTTTCTTGCACCGTTTTTCCACTGTGGCCCTGGCCACCCCGCTCCCCTCGTTGACATATTGGATATTTGTTCGCACCGTCTAAACGCAAAAGATCCCACTGTCAGTTCCCTTCCTTATCCAATCAACTCCTCTTATTGATTGGTAACAATTTAGTGTCATAGCGCTACCCGAGTTTCTTTCGTAATTCGCGGGATCTCACCAGCTCTCTAGCTCGACGACGTCACCGCTCGGAGACTTCAAACTCTATCGATACACGAGAGCTCTAGAAATAGCAAGCGTTCGACGGCCTAGACGACATCGACTCTTCCGGCACTCACCATGACGCCGCATAGCCTGCTCGACGGCCATGAGGACGGCCCCGTCGGAAACGGATTTCCCTCCCAGACCGACGGTCAAGCCCCCTCCAGTCAGCAAACTGGTTCTGTTCACCAACTAAACGTGTCGAATCTGAGAAGAACATCCCCAGAGGAGGTACACGACCTCATCTGCGTGGGGTTCGGTCCCGCGAGTCTCGCGGTCGCGGTGGCTCTTCACGATGCTATCAATCACGGCAGTCTCCCGAAGTCGGGAGATTCTTCGCCCTCGCCCAAAGTTCTATTTTTGGAGAAACAGGACCGGTTTTCCTGGCACTCTGGAATGATCCTCCCGGGAACTAAGATGCAGATATCCTTCATCAAAGATATGGCAAGCCTGAGGGATCCCACTTCTCAATTTACCTTTCTCAATTACCTCCACAGGAATGATCGACTCGTCGAATTCACGAACCTAAACACCTTCCTCCCAGCTAGGGCGGAATACGAAGACTACCTGAGGTGGTGCGCTGGCTTCTTTGACGATGTTGTCAAGTATAACACCGAAGTTATAGCTGTCGCCCCTGTCGAGGTTTCCGACCCAGCTGGCTCGATTTCTACGTTTACTGTGACGTCTAGAGATGTCAAGTCGGGCACGTCGACGGTACACAAGGCTAGGAATGTGTTGATCGCTATCGGCGGCCAACCGTTACTCCCAAAGTCTCTGCCGGCGGACCACCCTCGAGTTGTCCACTCTTCCCAGTATTCCCATGTCGTCCCGAACATTCTCAGCAAGCCGGATTCTCCGTATCGCGTGGCTATCATAGGGGCGGGCCAGAGCGCTGCCGAGATCTTCAACAATATCCAAACTCTCTATCCAAATTCCAAGACGTTTTTAGTTTCACGCTCCGAATTCCTGAAGCCGAGCGATGACTCTCCTTTGTGAGTATCTTTCGTGAATATCTCCCATAGCAGCGATATGGGGACTGCCCGGAAACTAATAATACTTGAAAGTGTGAATTCAATCTTCAATCCGTCATTTGTAGACGCGTTATACCAAAGGTCTCCCGAGGACAGGCGTTTCTTATTGGAGGATTCACGGAGCACGAATTACGGAGTCGTCAGACTGGAGCTCATCGAGCGCCTTTATGAACGCATGTACGATCAGAAGCGTGAGCTTGGAAGCGATGCGCGGAAGTGGCCCCATCGCATTCTGAGCGCTACGGATGTCGTTAGCTTGGATGCTAAAGGCGACCAATTAAGGCTTACGGTTCGCCCCTTGGGTTCGGGTCGGTATACCGTCTGCGGATGGGCTGAAGAGGACGCGAAACACGGTGCCGATGAGACTGAAACTCTGGACGTTGACCTGGTCATCGCAGCCACAGGATACCAACGCCAATCTCACCTGACAATACTCCAAGGGGTAGCCGGTTTACTACCGGAAATTAAGGAGTCAAATGGATCCACCGCAAGCAACGGGACCGCGAAGGCTTCCTCAGCTGGGATTCAAGATCGCGCACTCGGAGTGTCCCGCGACTATAGCGTTCAATTCTCACCCGGCAAGGTGTCGAAGGGATCTGGCATCTGGCTTCAAGGATGTTGTGAGGGCACTCATGGTGTAAGTTATCTCCTTGACGCTGGACCGGTGCTCCGTAACTGATAGCTCTCTAGCTGAGCGATACATTGCTGTCTGTTTTGGCCCCTCGTTCAGGGGAGATTGTCAAATCTATATTCGGGGATAACGCTTCTAAAGTCAGCCGATAAATGCCGTCCCAGACACCTGACTAAATCTGAATCTACCGCGACCAGAGGTTCTTACAAAATCGACGACTATGACGCCAGCATATGTATGGATATTTATAGACTGTCATATCAGCTACGGAAGTCCTGCCGGAGGACGTTAAGTCGGATATGGGCTTTCTACTAAGATGTGCTCGCGGAAGGGCTAAAGTTATTTCGTAGCAGGGTCGAGGGCCACAGCGGATAGAGTGGGGAATGTAGGAGACGCAATACTTTGTATTATGGGCAGCTTACCCGTATAAAAAAACACCCAAGTTCATGAGCCTGCGTATGAGTCTACATTGTCACGCGAAATGCCTTCAAATAGATAGACATATCGCATTATTGCTAAATATTCATTGGAACGGATTCGGACTAGTTTCGCACCACTTTTCACTAGATTCTCCCATGCGGTAAGACGCAACACATTCTACCGGATGTATTTGCTGGATGGCTGATACATAGTTACCTTCCTTCGGCGAGCGAGAGTTAACAATAAACCATTTCATAGTTTAGGTTACATAGTGGCATTTGAATTTACAGGCATATGGGAGAATACATTGGTTAAGAGTACTATACCCGCCGTGTATTTTAACAAAATGGAAAGCCAACAATGACATGCGAGTGCTGTGGTGGGGCCAGGAGGGGAGGACTGATGATGACAATATACGGAACAGTCAGCCGACCATACTTCTCACTCCACGATGTAAGGCTCTCCTTGGAGTATGTGAATAGTGATGATTCTTGGCAAACTTGCTGAATCATGTACAGCTCTTAACAAGATGCAGAAGTTTATCGAGGCCCGGTCGTTAAAATTAGTAAGTATAGATCACGGTACTACATGCTAGGCCTTCCGACGGCCTTCTATGATGGATAATTGCGGCGGTGAATAGAGCTGCTCACCTTCACTTAGAAGTAGTCAACGCTAAAATAAAAGTCATTGTTGAGGCCCATAAAAGGTCATCTCGGATGTATTTGCAAGGGGCGAGCTTCGTATCTTTACATGCTGAAACTGTAATCCGCGTTTGAATGGCACAGGCCTCCGCATCCACGGGTTATCTAGAAGGCCACTGTACTTAAAATAGACCTATTACGTTACATTGCTTACTGTACCCTGGTTATGAGCATGAGTTGTAAGCTTACTTTATGGGTTTCTCTTTCGAGATTAGCAATGGGTTTAGTGTCAGCCTATGATTCCTTGAATATAGAGGTAATAAATTCATCGGTGATAAATTCATTTGGGAAAGATGATATCCGAAATATAGGTTGACATACTTAACTGTTCAGATCTCGAGGCGTGGTATAAGTATTCCTACCCTCCCGTTTATCATCTATATGTTGGAACAGCATCCTGGGTATAATCACAAGCATCTATGGCTTCCTTGTCGCGTATCTTAACGACCCTAATAATTACCGGCCACACGCTGGCCGGTGCTCTAGACGGACACATTGGGAGACAGATCTCCACGATCGATCGATCTTCGTTGAACGGCAAGTTGTTTGTCGGTTACCAGGCCTGGTTTCGGAAACCATTTGAAGATAATGGGAACTCCCATTGGACAACGTATGTTTGCAATAAGACTGAGCCGGGGACATGACAAAGATCCAAACTAAAATTCATCAATAGTGATAAGCCGACTCCCGAGGTCGGCCATGGTAAGAAGCTTTGGCATCATCAGGGTCAATCTGAGCTGATATAAGTTCAAGTTGGTGTTGACATGATACCAAATGTGACGGGCTATCCAACAGAGTGTCTATTCAACACGGCTTTTACTCTCCCGGATGGCAACCCCGCGCAGTTCTACACCAATCACTGCGAAGGCGTTGTCGATCTACATTTTAAGATGATGGCGGACTACGGCATTAGTGGGGCATTCATACAACGCTTCTATGGCTATATCAACGAAGCTCACGGTGGCTGGGTTGATGTCTGTGTCACGCGGTATCCTTCTCGCAAGTCGGGTCTAACTGTAGCATAGATCCTCGGCTACGCCAAAGCGGCTGCGGAGAAATACGGCCGCGGATTCGCGATCGAATACGACCTGAACGGTGCTGCTACAAGCTCAACAAACATAACCGATACTTTTCTAACAGACTTGGCTGCACTTGGCTCCATTACTTCTTCGCCGGCCTACATGAATCATAACGGAAAGCCTATTCTTGAAATTTGGGGGTTTGGTATCGTTAACGGTGTCACAGCTAGAGACGGACTTGCCATCGTAACCGCTCTGAAGGATGCAGGCTGTTACGTGATCTTGGGAGTTCAACAAGCTTGGCATGCCGAGCTGGTTGAGGACCGGCCGGACGGATTCGGACCTGTGTATCGGTTAGCGGACATGATACAGCCATGGACTGTCGGCGCCTACGGAATCGATAACTATGACGACTTCCACGATGGGAGGCAGGCCGTCGAGGATGCTAGCGCTCTTCGAGACCTAGGGATAGAAAGCAGCATAGTAGTTTGGCCCGGTGGTTCAAGCAGCAATGCGAATCCGAACGAAGCCTTCGATCGTTTTCCGCGGTGGAACGGTTCGTTCTACGAGAGGCAATTGCGTGGAGCGGTAGACTTGAAGCCAAGTTTTATTTTTGGCGCGATGTTCGACGAGGTCAACGAGGGTACTGCCATCTTCCCGGTGTTGAGAAATAAGGAGCTTCCTGTTAATCAGAGATTTCTTGGCATCGACGACGATATGGAGCCGGACACATATCTCAAACTAGCTGGGGATTATGCATCTAGATTAGCTAGCCAGTGGCTGTAACCAAGTATTCAATTGAGGAACTAACACTTCACACTTAAGTGAGACATGCAAACAGACAAACTCATAGACTTGGTGAAATTACCTTGAGTATTATCTTATGTGATTATTAGTATCAGGTAGGGAGCCTTACTCGCGTAAGCATTTAAGGAAAAAAGCGGTTGTGGACGTTTTTACCTGACAAAATTGTTCATTGGACGTTTATTCTGCCGTTGCTCTCGCAGGTACTTTGCGGCAGTCCCGTCTCTGAGTGCCCCTTGGCACTATATGGAGCGAGCAATGCAACAAAACTGAGATGTGAGAGTGGATTTATCAGACAGAAAACAGTACCTAGCATGAGATTACATACATGCAATCAAAGGTCTCGACCTAATAATCTTGCAGATGCAACGCACTTCGCATCATCATCTATTGAGGAGTCGATTACCTGTTTCTCAACTCCATTCATGTTTGGAGCTCTGCAGCTCCCTCTCCCTAAATAAGAAGGAGAGAGAGGGCTACCTGCAAGCCAAGCCATATTATATTCCGGAATAAACCCGTGCCAAGGCTTACCCCACGGAGGCTTCGATCTACTGAGCACATTGTCCCATACTACGACTTCAACTAGTGGCGTGCGCGTGTTGTTGTGATAGAGTTAGTTAACTAGGCTAACGTTTTGATCCTAAACAATTCGAATCCCCATCCACTTCACCTAAACTTGTATACTTTCCGTTTAGTTAATCAGGGAGCTGTGTCAGATTGTAATATATCACAAGGCATACCCCATTCCAACGTAGACCCGTTTGCACTGCCAGAAGATATAATACGACCTAAGTTGCACTTCCGGCAATTATGGGTTGAAAGCGCCTGGGCCAAATGAACCGAGCGAATAACTATCAGTGCTTTAGAATACGCATGCATATAGTAGGATCGATGTCCCGTATCTCGTTAGGTGGTATTATCTAGATACACTCGCATGGATACAACCCGAAATTTTTGTTCTCAACCTGAATATGAGAAACGACGGGAACGAGTGATTCATCTGCAGCAGGGCCCGTGGCCATCCCTACCCTGAGATGGCTTCGTACAGAGATAGGTCCCTTCACGATTGGGTGGGATTACATATTCTTGTGAGCACATTTCAGGGTATGAACCCGGAAACATGAGCCCAAGTCGCATATAGAATTAGTAACAGTTAACACGAGCTAGGAAGAGCTTTTCCCTTGGCTCTATGAACTTTTAGATATTAGTGTTGATCTACTTAAAGAGTCACCTTTCCTCGTCCAACAGCAACTATTCTAGCCACCTAGAGCTGCAGCATACCTTCTCTGGCTTTAGTTATTCTTATCCTCGGCTTGAGTTAGGTCCCTTTTGCTTCGAGATGCCTGGCTCTACATTCATCTCTACCATTGGCTTCCTTGCTCTAGCAGTAACAGGGGCTATGGCTCAAACGACAGAGTACATGGATCCCAGCACGGGTATCACATTCCAGAGGATCCTAAAGAGCAACTACACCTTTGGTATTGCCCTTCCCAAAACGTTCGGCTCAGACTTTATCGGCCAAATCACCAGCAGCACGTCCGAAGGATGGGCCAGTGTATCGTTTGGAGGCCGGATGATCAACAGTCTTCTACTCGTCGTCTACCCAGACGGCGAGAAGGTTACCGCTTCGCTTCGGGTGGCTCCCGAATATGCGTCGCCGCTGCTGTTCAAAGGCGGCGCAATCCTAAAGCCAATTCCCGAGGGCACCTCCGCGGACGTCACCGGCTTCTCTTATACGTTTCTTTGCCAGAATTGTATTGTTGAAGGCTTGACATTTGATGGCTTACACCCTGTCGCTTCTCTTGCCTGGGCTACATCTACTAATCCCGTTACCCACCCTTCTAACCCTTCCTCTCTGCTGAACTACCATGATTTCTACGGTCGGTTTAACGCTGATATTCAGGCTGCGAGCTCGGTGAAGTTCGCAGAGTGGGCGGCATTGGCGTCTGACGTTCCTGATTTTCCGCCTGCTCCACCCGGAAGCGGCAATGGCACCATCCCAAACGCCCCTGTTCGCAAGGAGACTTACGACTATATAGTTGCGGGCGCGGGCGCGGCCGGAATTGTGGCTGCAGAGCGCATCGCCGAGTCAGGTGCTTCCGTTCTCCTCCTTGAGCGTGGGGGGCCGTCCATTTACTCAACCGGTGGCGAAGTCACCATGCCGTGGAACGACACGGTAACAATATTTGACGTCCCTGCAATTTTCCGGCACATCCCATCGACTCCAGGAACTAACGCCTTCTGCGCTGACACGGCTGCACAAGCTGCCTGCGTTCTCGGAGGTGGTACTGCTGTGAACGGTATGATCTTCATCAGGCCCCCCCAAAGGGACTTCGATGACTTTCCCCAGGGCTGGCATTGGGATGATGTCGCCGATGCTGCTGAACGATTGTACGAACGGAACACACATACCTTGTACCCCTCGGCTGACGGAGAATATTATGATGGAACCATCTTTGATATCGCCTCAAAATCTTTTGAATCCAACGGGTGGACGAGTGTGGATGGTATTGAGCAGCCCGACGCGAAGCATATGATTTTCTCACGTGGTCCGTGTGGGGTAAGTCATAACTACAGTACCAAGTTGTTGCAATCTGATTTGATCCACCGATATTAATTAGTGGCAGATTGTCAACGGCCTGCGAGGCGGACCTCTCCGAACATACTTGCCCCTTGCGCAGTCTCTCAAGAACTTCAAGTTGGAACTACATACCAAGGTTATCCGAGCTGTGCGAACCAACTCAACTGTCACCGGAGTGGAAGTAGAGGTCAGCGGCGGAAGAGAGACCGTCAACATTAATCCTGGCGGTAAGGTAATTCTAGCTTCTGGAGCCATGTCAACCCCTAGAATCCTCTTCAACTCCGGAATCGGTCCTACCGAGCAGATCGAAATCGTCGCCTCTGGTAACACCTTAGTTAGGCTCCCCGAAAGGTCAGCCTGGATCGACCTGCCAGTAGGAAAAAGAATCCAAGACCACCCGCTGTGGCTCACGACATGGAACATCACTGGCGACGCGGCCCAATTGCCCATAGTCTCGGAGGAAGTTCTTAAGAACCCACCCGAAGAGATGGTCGAGGATTTTTCGCACGCAATCGGCGTCTTCGTTGAGAACGACATACGTATGGAGGTGTTCACAGACATCACACCGTCGCTGGACAACGTCACGCGCTACATGCAAGTACAATTCTACGGTAAGACCACGGGCCAGTTCAACATGGAAATCTTCCTGACGCACGGCTCGACGTCGCGTGGCGAGCTGGGAATCACCGCCGAGGGAGCAACCTACCATATCAAGAACCCGCTGATGAACACGGAAGGCGACAGAGAGGCCATCAGTACCTTCGTTGAAATGCTACTGGAATATTCCCGACGGCCAGACGCCGCCTTCGTCTGGCCTGGTCCCGGTGGCGCGAATGCGACAGCTCGCGATGTCTTGACGGGTATGCACTCGGGAATCCACGTTGTAGCAACGGCACCAATTGGGACGGACGACGGCCGCGAAGGAGGGAATGCTGTAGTCGACCTCGATACCAGGGTTTATGGCACCGATAATCTCTTCGTTGTAGATGCATCCATCAACCCAAGCGTGCCAACTGGTAATACGATGGCTATCACTATGCTAGTGGCAGAGAAAGCGGCGGAGAAGATTCTGGCTTTCGACACAATGAATGCTGCGTTATAAAGGCTGAGGTGGTAATGTCACAGGCAGATACTGAGCTAAGGGTTTTCTACTTGCAAGCATATACTGTAGTGGTACAGAGAGCAGTGTTGTGGCTTTAGTTAAGTCGAGATACCCTTCCGCGGGCCACCCCTTCACGGACTACGAGCTTTATTTTATCATTGTCGGGTCGACTGTAACTATAAACCCCTCGCTGCGTAAGAGATCAGAGAATTCAACCTTCCACACCTTCAAGTGCGCTAGCTCTCATGACTTTCAGCTGCTCCCCCGCCATATCCGACATTCCCAACTATCCCGGCGTCCCGATTGGAGGTTACATCTAGAGAAAAGATGTAATACTACCTAATTGATGGGGTGGCTAAGTCACTCAGTTACGGGGAACTGACCAACTGAATGGCTGCGTTTAGCGTTAAGCCAACTAGGTAGGTAGCTACGAAAGGTGGGCTGGTCGTTGGGGAAGGTATCAATCCCTGTGTGGTCGGGTCAGCTCCCCTGCCACAGAGGAGCGCCAAGTCCGTCCCACTGCTTAAGAGGGGAGGCAATTACTGCTGTTAGAACAGCTGCCGTATTGGGGAATATGACCGGCAGTACTTGTTTAAGACCAGGACCCGAGATGGTAGGGAGCAGCCGGAATTCGAGCGAATGGACTCTTTTGTGAGTCTTAATGCGCAATTCAAAGAGTCTTCAAACCGTTCTGCTCCCTAGGTATAAATAGGAACTCTCCATGGGTCATAGGTATCTGTCACTGTCTCACCGTGGAGAAGCGTTGATGGCTGGGAGGGCACTAGCGGCAGGCCGAAGAGATCTTCTTGGTTCAGCGACGACGCTACCAAGCGTTTATCGGGCCAAGCCGAGGGGGTGCTGAGGGCTTTCGGGAGGGACATGGGCTGATGGGCGTTCCCAAGTTCCGCCTGCTGAGCTTGATCCGTCCTATAAAGCCTCGCCGCTTCGAGACTAGCCCCCCGCGGGTCCAAACGTAACGGACCGGCATCAGGCTGATAACACAATCGGATGACGAGGCTGAGTCGAAATTAGGGGTATCACCACACTCGGACACTAACTTAGGAGCACTTCCAAGTCGAAACCTACCTGGTACTTATACATCAGGCGGAGGGCAGGCAGCCGCGCGCCCTGACTTGCTGACCGAGAAGCTGCAGAATGGAGGCCCAGGATGGCCTCGAGAATTCGTCCCTAGGCAGACAGCTCCGACAAATCAGTCAGGATTGTGCTAGATGCCTCTAGTATACGATCTCGCGAATCGTGCATGTGTGTTTTCGTCGACAGGCCTGATGGGTTTGATACTCCGAAAGAACCGATCCAGCTGATAGACGACATCAGCCGACAGGGGGACCTCAAGATGTGAGTCCCGAGTCGCCTTTGGTACCAGTTTAGAGTCTTTGGCAGACACCCCAGTCTCAAGATGCACAGGTTGGCACTGAACGACACGAGAACCTTCCTCCCGCGCAGTTTGTCGGCATGTATTGCATTCTCTGAGAGAGAACCAGATTCAGATCTTCGCAAACCGGTGACCGAGACTCCCTAAAAGGCCTAGGCGGTTGCCCTGTGGGTGGCGGTAGTTCTGAAGCCTATCATCCTCGGCGTCTAGTCTTAGCCAACCGGGGGCAATAGTCGGGGGGCGGCGGGAACACTCAGCTTTATTGCTGGGTAGCCCCAGCCGTTAAGCATAATCGAAATATAGGGCCAATAGCGCCTATTTCAGGCCTCCTTTTTTTGGCAATCTCCGGCTCTAAGCTCCATGCCCCCCCGAAGCTGTCTCTTCGCCTTTCGCCACCCCTGCGCATTCCTGATCCTGACCCTGCCATCACGACCGGCTTGGGTTAAATAACGTCATGCCCCCCATCGGCATGGCCAGCCACCTCCTCACGCCTTCCAGATGCCGCCAAGCCCTTGGATTCTTGGGTTTCTAACGCTGCCCTCGCCACTACCTCCTCCACCTACCTCGCGGGTAGTACGTTGCAGTAGCATCACTATACGGTTGGTGGTAAAAGTAATGTCTGTAGGATGCCGAGAAACAAGGGGGTTGGTCGAGACCTTCTACAAAACCTCCTGCTTTGCTTTGGATAGAATCATATTTTATGAAATATGGGATAAAAAGGGCTTAAAAATAGTTAGACTCAACGTCGATTTTTTTTATAGCCGTTATTGCTTTGAAGATCCTATAAGTCTCGCGGCCCGCCTTCGGCGGGCCCCGGTATGTTGGTCTTCTTACGGTGTCCGCCCTTCTAGATCCTGCCTCTTGTTAGCATATGCTCAGATTTCATGCTTGTCGCCCCATTGGCGCAGCTAGAAGCCTGCTTTACTCTAGGAACTTGCACGATATGCGAATTGGACCCACCACGTCGCATAGCGCCGGCCGAGCGATGTATCCGCTCCCACGAGACCCGAAGCTATAAAGTGAACCCGCCCTCGCGCTCTTCCGCCGCTCTCCCTTGTTCAGCACCCCTCCAGGACACTGTCGAGGCTGGGAATCTGACAATCACCCCTCCCCATCACCATGAAGGCTGGCACTGCTCTCGTCATGGGCCTTCTGGCCCTGGGCGCCCACGCCTCCGAGACTCTCACTCCTGAGAAGGCTGTGGCCGACATCAAGACCCAGGAGTAAGTCCTGTTCCCCCGAGCTCAATGCTGCCTTGAACCCCTCTTAACATCATCCCAGGCTCCAGCGCAACCTGTGGAACTTTAACAAGATCGCCCGTGAGAATGGCGGCAATCGTGCCTTCGGTCTGCCTGGCTACGATGCCTCGGCCGATTACATTCTCGAGCGTGCTGAGAAGCGCTTCGCCACTACCGTTAACGTCCACAAGCAGTACTTCAACCACACCTTTACCCTTGTCAGGGACATCTCCGTGACTGGCCCCGAGGGTGAGAAGGTCGATGTAATCGCTCTCATCTATAACCCTGCCACCCCGGGTGATGATGGAATCACCGCGCCCCTCATCGACACCCCCGTCGATGACGCCCGTGGATCCATGTGCTTTGAGGACCAGTGGGCGGGCATCGACGCCACCAACAAGCTCGCCCTCGTCAAGCGTGGCACCTGCGCCATCGCCGACAAGCTCAAGCTCGCCGCTGCCCACGGCGCTGCCGGCGTCATCCTCTACCACAACGCCCCCGGCGCCATCCCTGGCGCCACCCTCGGTGCCGCGAACATTGGCCTGCTGCCTCCCGTCGGCACGATCTCTCTGGCCGTCGGCGAGGCCTGGTCCGCTCGCCTTGCTGCCGGCGAGGAGCTTGTCGTCAGGCTCTACGTCGATGCCGTCTACGAGAGCCGCGAGACCTATAACATCATCGCCGAGACTAAGGAGGGAGACCCAAACAATGTCATCATCCTCGGCGCCCATCTCGACTCTGTCCAGGCCGGCGCCGGCATCAACGATGACGGCTCTGGCTCTTCAGCCCTGCTCGAGATCCTGGGCTCCTTCAAGAAGTACAAGGGCTTCAAGAACAAGGTTCGCTTCATATGGTGGGGCGCTGAGGAGTCCGGCCTCATCGGTTCGCTCTACTATACCCGCACCCTATCCGAGGAGGAGCGCGACAAGATACGTTTCTACTTCAACTACGACATGATCGGCTCTATCAACCCAAAGTTCGACGTCTACCAGGGCGACAACGCCGGCGACGCCTACGGCGCCGACCTCCTCGAGGAGTACCTGCTCGAGCATGGCTTCCCTGCCCAGCGCGCCCCCTTCGGTAGCGGCTCTGACTACGTCGGCTTCATCCAGATAGGCGTGCCTTCCTCCGGTCTGCACACCGGCACTACCCCCTACGACCCCTGCTACCACCTCGCCTGCGACAATATCGACAACATCAGCTGGGAGGCCCTCACCATCAACACCAAGGCCGCCGCGCGCGCCGCCGCCATCTTCGCCAATGACCTGTCCGGCGTCCCCCCCCGCACCAAGACGACTCCCGCCAAGCGCAGCGTCCAGGCTATCCGCCGCGAGTTCGAGCGCTGGGCCACCATTGCCGAGGAGTCTGACCACGCCCAATCCTGTGCCCACGGCAAGCAGGAGGTCGTCTAAGCCCTCTCTGCTTAGTGCGATTGTAATTACTATTAAGAGTTGTAGATAATATCTATATGACGAGACTAATTGATGATAATCGTCAACAGGGTATGCCGAAGGTAGTGGGTGCTGATGCGTGATAACTGCCTCTGAGAGCCTTTGACACTAAACTCCTTTGAAAGAAGAGGCTGGCAGAGTATAAGGACTGGTAAATCAACTGTACTGAGCTCATTACTTGTACATACATCTATGCAGAGTACATAAGAAACCCGGGCCGGAGGCCACTATTTCGGAGCCGACATCCAAGCCACCCGTAGCTTTGGCGCCGCCGTGGCTAAGCGGGTGCTCGCCGTCCCGTGGAGCTCCCTCGCCATACATCCGTACAACCGGAGACCATGACCAGGACGAGCAAGCACCCAACTATAAGCCTACTCGCTACCCCCTCAGGGTCGGCCATAGCGCAGATGCTACCCGGCTTTAACATCTAAGCTAGAGCACCGCTCCACGAGCCACCCCTTCGCGAGCCATCCTTGTATATATGTATTGATAAATAAACGGCTTTTGCCCGGAAGAATTAGATAACTTTTTTCTAGGTTAATGAATTAATAATAAAAAGAGTGTTACGGTTTCAAGAGCTGTTCGCTAGGTGAAAGGGTGTAAATTAAAGGAATAAAGCTGTACGAGAAGGAAAAGGAAGAAAGGTACGCTCTATTAAGGCCGCGCCTTTAGGAGCTAGCTATATACGGGAGGAGCGGTTACGTACCTTAGTACTATGCTAACTAAGGTTCTATAATTAAGCATAGTTTATTATATAAGCTTTCCTTTCCATTAATTCAGGTATTTAAATCGTTCTTAGTTAGTAGCGCTTCCTTTTCTTTTTAATTAATTAACCTTTCTCTTATTTCTCTTCTTATTCCTCCTTTTAAACCTTTTCTTTTCTTAGAATAATAATAACTCTCCCGCCCCTACTACCTTAATTAACGTAAGTAAACCTCTTCCTTTACGGTTATTCGTCGTTATTATATTATTATTAAGGCCATATTTCGTCGGGATATAGCTTTCCTTTTAGCTCGCGCGTTTTATAAGGTATTCGATTAATTCCTAGCTAACGTAGTATTAGTAGATATCCTTTTCTTCATTTCCTGACCCTTTAGGTTTTTCCGTTTTTATTTCCTATCGCTTAATACGACGCTTTACGCCTACCTCTTCCGCCGACGAGGGTAGTACCGCTACCCGTCCGGCAGGCGCCCGCGTCTTTCCTTACCGTCGTTACGTAAGTACCTTACGTACTTATTACGATAAGACCTTTAGGCTAGGGCCCGGCGTACGCGAAATACGCGGCTAACGGATATAGCTACTAGCCGTTATAAGTATTATATATATCCCGTATAAATAGCTAGTCGTTATTAATATCTCCTAGTTCCGTCGTCGCGTTCCTCGCCGCTTATTAATAGGTAGCCGGCCGTACTGAGGAGGAGCAGAGCGTACGCGATGCTGAAGACCCGGATAGGTTCACTCGAAAGTATACTCTATCGAAGACTATAGTTCGTACGATGGTTTAAGAGAGATGAAACTAGTACCGCTATATTAATCGAGAGATAAGGAATCTAATAGAGTTATCGTATCTTAGTTATGTCCCTTAGTCGTAGAAATATAGTAGTCGCTAGTCCGAAGGTATAAGAGGTAGGAGAAGAAAAGGAATAAAACGTAAAAGTTATTTATTCGGTTATAGCGGTACGATGAAGTAACTTAAGCGCCTATAATTAAAATAAATATACTAATCGGAGAACGACGAATCTAATAATAAAAACGAATCTTTAATTAAGGTAAAAATAATAAAAATAGTAATCTAATTAAGTAATAAACTAAATAATAAGTATAGCATTGTTACGGTTTCAAGAGCTATTCGCTAGGTAAAAGGGTGTAAATTAAAGGAATAAAGCTATACGAGGAGGAAAAGGAAGAAAGGTACGCTTTATTAAGGCCGCGCTTTTAAGAGCTAGCTATATACGGGAAGAGCGGTTACGTACCTTAGTACTATACTAACTAAGGTTCTATAATTAGGCGTAGCCTATTATATAAGCTTCTTTTTCCGTTAATTAAGGTATTCGAATCGTTCTTAATTAATAACGTTTCCTTTTCTTTTTAATTAATTAACCTCCTTTTTATTCCTCCTCCTGCTCCTCTCCTTTTTCTATAATAATAATAGCTCTCCCGCTTCCGCTACCTTAACTAACGTAAGTAAACCTCCTCCTCTACGGCTATTCGTCGCTACTATATTATTATTAAGGCCGTATTTCGTCGGGATATAGCTCTCCTTTTAATTCGCGCGTTTCGTAAGGTATTCGATTAATTCCTAGCTAACGTAATATTAATAGATATCCTCTTCTTCGTTTCCCGACCTTTTAGGTTTTCCTACTCTTATTCCCCGTCGCTTAATACGACGCCTTACGCTTATCTTTCCCGCCGACGAAGGTAGTAATAATAACGTAAGTAATATCGCCGCCGTAGCGGCCTTAATAAGGCTAACCTTTCCCGTCTTATTACTCCTTTCGCTTAATTACGTATTAATCGGTTTTTATAATAAAAAAGCCTCCCTTTTAGTCCTAAGCCCGCCGCCGTAAAGCCCGCCGCCGAGGAGCCCGCCGCCGAAAAGCCCGCCGTCCCGGAGGCTACCGCCTCCCCTTAAACTCCTACTACTCCGCGTACGGCTACCGCCCCGCGTACGGTTACTATCCCTCGCTCGGCCGTTACCTATCCGGCGGGCGCCCGCGCCTTCTCCTACCGTCGTTACGTAAGCGCTTTACGTACTTATTACGATAAGAAAGGCCGGGACCCGGCGTACGCGGAATACGCGACTAACGGATATAATTATTAACCGCTATAAATATTATATATATCTTATATAAGTAGTTATTATTAATATCTCCTAGCCCCGCCGTCGCGCTTCCCGCCGCTTATTAATAAATAGCCGTCCGTATTTCCGTTAACGGCTCCCGCTTACCTTCGCTTTCGCTAACGCCGCCGAACGCTTATTAACCTACGGCTTAATCGGCCCGTTAGCCTTCCCTTTTCCTTTTTTTATTTTTTTATTTTTTTATTATATATATTAACTTCCCCTTTTTCTAAGGAATTCGTAAACCCTATAACCCGAGTTTCCGGCCCGGCCCTCTGCTTCGGCGAAACTATCCTTACTAGCCCGCCTACCGCTCCTACCGGCCCGCTTACCGCCCTTACCGGCCCGCTTATTATCTTTACCGGCCCGCTTATTATTACCGCCGCTCCCGGCCTTAATAACGCCGTCCTTTAACGTATAGTTTCGGCCTTAAAGGGGTAGATTAACGCCTTAAAGGACTCTTAACGCTCCCGGCGCTCGCGCTCGCCGACCCGCTCGCCTATCCGTTTCCCGCGCCGCCGCTTACGTCCCCGCCGCTCTTAGTACCGCCTTCGCCTCCTAGCTTCCCCTCTTTCCCTCGAGACGTTAGATATTAACCGCGCCGCTCGCGCTCGCCGTTCTTTCGCCGCCCGTTTTATTTTCGACAAAGAAGCGGAAGAGGCTAATACTTCCGAGTTCTCTCCGGAAAAGGAAGAGGACGACGATTAATCGCCCCTTCCCCTTCCTTTTTTCTTTTTTTTTATAATTAAATAATACCTTTATAACGTTTAAAAAAGAAATTTAACCTCGCGGCCCGGTTCTTAAGTATTTCGTTTCTTAATTAATCGTAACTTTAAGTTTTCCTAAGTCGTATATTTTTCCCTTAAACCGTCGTTTACGGTTATTAATTCGTACTTATTTTCGTAAATATCTAATACCTCCGCTTTTATAAAGTCGGATAATAGGTATTAAAATAATTCCTAATAGCCCTTTTAACGTATTAAAACTTTACGTCGTTTTCCCTTACTTACCTTTTTATTTCTTACGTAAAGGATTTCCTTTATTATAAACTTATTAATTCCTTCGATAAATAATGAAAGAAATTACGGGTCGTATTAAGTTTAGCTTAATAACTCGTTCGTATGCGCTTTCCGTAATTAATCGACGTAGAATTTATTATCGATCTCGGTTATATGGGAGATAGTTAGGGGGTTAGGTCTGTAGGAAACGAGGGACTTAGTTGTTTTTTTTTTCAAAAACCCCTGCATATGAAATTTTTCCTATATCCGTTTCTCGCGATTCTAAATACTTTTTATTATTACCTTTTTTGGAAGGTAGACCTACCTTTTCTTAGGCCTTTATTAACGGGCGAGGCTCCGGCGGTACGTATCCCGCGTATCCCTCCTACCCTGCCGTTATTCGTACGTTTATCGAGAGAAAACGAGGAATAAAATCGATAGAAAATTAGGCTTTTCGTTACTAAATAGGTTATATTTTTCTTTACTTTTTAGGGTTATAAGAAAGGCATATTACGTAAGGTAGAAAAAGAGAAAATTTAAAACCTTATTCTTTTCTACGGACCTTATATCTTCTATCTTTCTTTTTATATTTTCTATAGATCGGATAGCGATAAGGATCTTATACGAATTCAATAGATTTTTCGTTCTTTATAACGATATCTTTTCTATATAGAAATAGTTATACTTTTATTCTTATTATCTTATTGAGAAATCGGAAAGAATATTTCTATATGTTTTTTTTTTAAAAAGTATTATAGAACGGTCTTTATAGGATTTCGCGACGAAAATACGTCGGATCCGGTTCGCCTTAGGTTTATTCGAATTTCCTTTTTCTCTTTATAGTAATATAGAATTTTCGATCCCGTATCTTTAAAACCCGTAACGGAAAACCCGAGTTACGTTTTTCGGAATTTAAGAAGATTAACGCTTGCTACTTTTTTTATTTTTCGTTCCGGTATGCGAGTTTTTTTCTTTTTCGAAAGATACCTATCCGATCCGGTATTACGTCGGGAGAAGACATAAAATTTCTTATATCCTTTAAGGATATATCCGCTAATTTATACGATAAAAAGAAAAAGGTTTTCTCCTTTTTCCGATACTTTTTCCGTTTTTTTTACGTAGAAAATTTCTTTATTATTTTAAACGTTATAACCTTTTTCTCTTATTATAATTCGTAGAAAAACGTCTTTCTTATATCCTATATATCCTTTTTCGTTACTTTAAACATAAAAGATTTTTCGCCGGTACGAAGTACTTCGGTACGTACCGTATTAATAAACCTTAATAAGTACGAAGTACTTCGGTATGTACCGTATTAATAGCCGGTACGAAGTACTTCGGTACGTATCGTATTAATAAACCTTAATCGGTACGAAGTACTTCGGTACGTACCGGCCGAAACTTAGAAATTTTTTATCCTACCGAGGTATTTTTTCTCTTTTTTTTAAAAATATCCCATGGAATCCTTATACTTATAAGAGCCTTACGTAAGGAAATCGTTCCGTATATCGTATTCCTCGTCGAAAGAAAAGGAATAGCTTTCTTATCTTTCTAAAAGTACTCTACCTTATAACCTCCTGAGGCCTAGGTACGTACCTAGGCTAAGATACCGGTACGTACCTACTATCGATAACGTAAGTACGTATCTACGCCAAGCTATCGGTACGTACCGGATTTAAGATAAAAGGAGTAGCTTTCTTATCTTTTTAAACGTTCTTAGGAAAGGGTTTCTTTACGTATAGGAAAATCCGGTACGTACCGATAGCTTAGCGTAGGTACGT